CAGGTGCCATGCAATAGTTTTATTTATCTATTTCTTTATTGCTTGAATTTTAATGGCGTTTTTACAGTATTAGCCCAAATGTGGTGGATTTTATGGTTAGTTTGTTTGGATTGTTAAAATCAAATATTCGACTCCGCATAATATACGTGACTATTCAACAACAAAGAACAAACGACTGAAGAAAAAAAAACGCCGTACGTACACACCTTAATTTCACGTTGTTTGCGCTCGTATAAAGATGACTTAACCTTGGCAGTATGAACATTTGTGTTACATATACCTTACGAAATGCTCAACAAACTAAAAACGATGAATTCGATTAGGAAAAATGGGAATTCTTGTATAACCTTTACGCTTAACGGAGAATACTAAATGATTTGCCAAGCCTGTTCGGTATAAAATGTCATATTATTTAAAGAAATGCACCTAGAATTCTTTGGAGTTTAATCGCGTTTGTAGAGAGTCATTTTCTTTGAACAATAGTTAAATTTCAATGAAATTGCTTGAAAAATTAGGATATAGCCGTTTTAAGTCGCAATTTGACAGTTGACAGATTTAGGTTATGTGACATTTGACATTTAATTAAGATTACAGATTGTTGTGATGTTGGGTGTATTTTTTTTGTTTTTATGGGTTTTCCAATAAACAGTGTTAATCCGAATGAAGAAATAAATTTCATACAGTTCCTGTAAATATAAATTGTATCTATTAGATACAATAAATACACATTTTAGTAGTGATTAACGTGAAAAGTGTAAACATTTCAATTAAAATCGTCAAACAAATAAGTCGTAGAGAACTCAAATATAAAAATGGTTGATTTTAAGGTTATGTTTGTGCAAAAATGATTATTTACTTATTTCTTAAAAATGTCCAAACTTAAATATAAATTATATTAGGTAAAGTTATCATTAGTTAATTCTGCACCAACAAATGTGCTTACCGAATTGGATCCTTTGGCAAAACATGAAAATGCAACGATTTAGTTTTTGAATTTTGTTTACAATTAAAAACACAATAATTCACCATGATCCTTTAGATAAAATACACACACTAACGCAACTATATAGGCATTTAAGCGTTGAGTTTTTTAATCAATGATATAAAGAATAATCAATCGAAATTAAGTACTAAACCAGTTTTTTAGTTTTTTCCTTGCAACGTAAAACACAAATAACGTCTATTATTCGATGATTTCAGAATGATTTGTTATTCATTTGTGTAAATTTTTTTTTTTGAATAATAATTTTTAAAATTGTTTTCATTTTATTTTCCAATTTTTAACAAATACTTTTGTCACTGGGTCTACAAAAAGGTTTGTAAAAAAGTCCTTTTTGAAAATTACAATAATTATGGTTAAAATCTTGACATAGAATTTTGTTATTAAATCCTCAAAATCTTTGTTATAACTACTTATTCAAAAATTTAAGAGATTACAGTAGGTAGTAACAACTATTTTTTTAGTGTAATATTATATATAATAAACAATATATTACCCGTTTTTGGTTTTTTACCGTTGAGATGAGATTTTCTAAAATGTGATTCATTGTATATAATAGTTACAATTTATATTTTAATTTCATTTAAAAAATTACAAGAAACCCGAAAAATATCCGGTCCAAACTGCATTTAATCAATAATGTAATTAATTGTTTTTGTTTCATTTCGATTTAGATAAAGTTTGTTAAACTGGTATTACGAATCACTAAATTTGTGTTTTGGTACATTTGTGTTGTTCATGTCGATTAAAAAAAGTATTTTTTTTCCTTAGAATAAGTTGTTTATATTTAATTTGGGATTTAAATTGCCAATTTTTTGCTAAAAAAGATTTTAAATTGCATTAAATAACATAAAAAATACAAAAATTATAATTCACCAATTAAGATATCAAAAAGGGTTTAATTAAATTTTAAGTCCGGTCCTGTCTATAAAATCACAAGTAAGTATCTATAGGTCCTAAGTCCCTTTGCTATAGTTTTTATTAATTAAGTCCTGGGTGACAAAATAACGAAACTTTTGGCGTAAAAGTTTCATTTTATTCTTAATCGGATAAACTGGCCAAAATGATTTCCTTGTCATATTTATCGCTTCAAAACTTTTTTAATTACAGACCATTCAGTTTTTTACGTTATAGTCATACGATCGAAATAAAAAAATTATGAAATTTTTGTCAGTTGTCGTAGGTCAGGAAGAACCAGTGGCGGCCCAAATTTTTAATGATTTAAAAAATGCACTATTGCAAAAACTTTGTTATTACCAAACTAAAATAGGAATTTATGTTTATAAATTTTATAGAGGTTTTTCAATAAAAATAATTACAGTTATATGTATACATATATCGTACAGGTATGTGTATTATACAACAACTATTATAAACCGGACTTACTTTATATAGTCCTTATAATGCCGTGCCAAATGAACATCATGGAATTAATTATTTTATATAATAAAAATTTTAAAAAACATAAATATTGCTTATGGTTTTTTAAATACCTTAATTATGTGGCATCAACATTATTTAACGATTTTTTTTTCCAGGGTAATAAAAAATAATTTTTCAATGCCATTCATTTTCTATAAGAATACATTTATTTAATTAATTAATTACAACAAATAATAATTAATTACCTGAATAAGTAAATTTTTTTCTCTAGGTGCCCAAATTAAAAAGACATACCAATTATTTCCTTTGTTAGTCAATTTAATATTAAATCCATTGTACAGGGTGGTCCACGTAAGGTGACCCATATACTTATCTCAGAAACTACTGGAGTCACAAAAATTTTGTAAGAAACAAATATTCACGAAGTAAAAAATATTTTTAAAATATTATATTTTCATTTATACAGGGTGTTCGGTTTTCCGTGGGACGATACCAACTTTCTTATTTTCAATGGAACACCCTGTATTTTTTTGCATTTTTGGATTCTACCCACTCTTTTAGGTATACTTTGTAAATATATTAATTAAGAAAATGTTAATACTTTTTGAGTAAAATTAAGATTTATTAAAATTTCTCTAAATGTAGACACTCGCTAAAAGTTAAAAATAATCAACTAAAACTTATTATTTTTTATATTATGTAGTATCCATCTCTTTAATAATAAGTAAACTATAAGTTAATTATTATATTTTTTGGAAAATATCATACAGGGTGTTTTCTATGTCCCGTTGAAAATAGCGATTTTAAAAGTTTAAAATCTGGTTTTTCTTCAATGGAACACCCTATATATTTTTGCATAATTGGATAGAATAAGTAATTACCTTTCATTTTATATATATATGTCCTATACCTAAACCTAACAGAAAAAAAAATATTCGCATTTTTCACAATTAGTAGCTTTTTTCCAATTACCTTAGTTAAATTTTTATTATTCAAATAAATAAATTTCAATAACAACAAATAAAAATGCTTTTATATATAAATATATATTACTATAATAATTACCATACGCGCAAAGCAACTAATTTTGTAAAATGCGAATATTTTTTTTAGGTGATCCACGTAAGGTGACCCATATACTTATCTCAGAAACTACTGGAGTCACAAAAAATTTGTAAGAAACAAATATTCACGAAGTAAAAAATATTTTTAAAATATTATATTTTCATTTATACAGGGTGTTCGGTTTTCCTTGGGACGATACCAACTTTCTTATTTTCAATGGAACACCCTATATTTTTTTGCATTTTTGGATTCTACTCACTCTTTTAGGTGTACTTTGTAAATATATTAATTAAGAAAATGTTAATACTTTTTGAGTAAAATGATGATTTATTAAAATTTCTCTAAATGTAGACATTCGCTAAAAGATAAAAATAACCAACTAAAAGTTATTATTTTTTATATTATGTAGCATTCATCTCTTTAATAATAAGTAAGCTATAAGTTAATTAATTTATTTTTTGGAAAATATTATACAGGGTGTTTTCTTTGAATAATGGAAATTTAACTAAGGTAATTGGAAAAAAGCTACTAATTGTGAAAAATGCGAATATTTTTTTTTCTGTTAGGTTTAGGTATAGGACATATATATATAAAATGAAAGGTAATTACTTATTCTATCCAATTATGCAATAATATATAGGGTGTTCCATTGAAGAAAAACAAGATTTTAAACTTTTAAAATCGCTATTTTCAACGGGACATAGAAAACACCCTGTATGATATTTTCCAAAAAATATAATAATTAACTTATAGCTTACTTATTATTAAAGAGATGGATACTACATAATATAAAAAATAATAATTTTTAGTTGGTTATTTTTAACTTTTAGCGAGTGTCTACATTTAGAGAAATTTTAATAAATCTTAATTTTACTCAAAAAGTATTAACATTTTCTTATTTAATATATTTACAAAGTATACCTAAAAGAGTGGGAAGAATCCAAAAATGCAAAAAAATACAGGGTGTTCCATTGAAAATAAGAAAGTTGGTATCGTCCCAAGGAAAACCGAACACCCTGTATAAATGAAAATATAATATTTTAAAAATATTTTTTACTTCGTGAATATTTGTTTCTTACAAATTTTTTGTGACTCCAGTAGTTTCTGAGATAAGTATATGGGTCACCTTACGTGGACCACCCTGTACCTATACATAGAGAACAACCTTGGTTTGATTATTATAAGGTATAATTTTTATGTAATACATTTTTTTCCACAATATTTTGTAAGTCAAAACCACACGCTAATTTTTGTTGCCCAACCTGGGAGGACAATTTTTTGTCGTCAACTCGTTGCGGTAAACTTTGCCCAATTATTTTTGATTTACCTATTTACCACAAAAAAGTTTTTTCGTCTAATGTAATTATTGTTTACTTGAACGTTTTTTAATGAATTAAATTGTTTTTATAAATATCGTAGCCAATAAACAAATCTCAGCCACACACAATAAGAAGATTGCTTAAGCGTTTACAACCAATTGCTTCCAACAAACACAAAATAAATACCGAATTAAACCATTAGCAACACAATAAACAAGCAACACCTAGCTTACCTTCGATATTTTCTCGAAAAAGCCTCCGAAACCCCTGCTAACCACTAAAAATCAAGTCGCCAGTGGATTTTTCGACGTTCGTAGCCAATAGCGACGCACTTTTCGAATGTCAACACAGAGTTGGCGGGTTAGTCGCGTGCGCCGATGCCGACTGCGCAGTCACGGATAGTGCGATGTAGCAAAGTCGAACGCCGTCGAGCGACTGAAACGACGCGGCGCATTTCAGTCGACAATAAAAAGAATAATCGGCCGTTCTCGGGGCAAATCGCACGCAATTATCGCTTGAAATTGTTGAATATACTTTAAAATCGGTAAAAACATTCGATTTTTGTGTTAAACAATGCTTAAAACGACCATCACACATTTTGACATTTTTAGAACAATTTTTTCTATTTATCAGCTTAAAACACGTAAAATACCAATAAAAAACTATAATTTAAATCACATTGAATATTTTCCGCATTGTTTTCACGTTAAAACACCAAAAAACACCCACAAAACACGATAATAATGTTTATAACTGTCAAATTTTTGACAACTAATTTTCACTTATCAAGCGCCATCTAGATAAATCGGGAAAACTGCGATTGACAGCAATTTCACTTTAAATCTTCAAATTAACCCTAAGAAAGTGTTTTGGATGTGAACAAATTTCATTTCAGTCTGATTTGGGGTCGTTTACTGTAAAACCTCTCTAAGCGATAAAACAATTAAAAAAATCATTTGTGGACTTTTACTTGGTAGTTTTTTGCAATAAAAATGCTAATTTACAATACAGAAATATGAAAAATACAAAGAAAAACAGTTTAAAACACTCACTTTCAACATTTATCCACATTTTTCTTACTTTAAACCACTGAAACACACAAAATCACTATAAAATATTTGTATGATGCACAACTGTCAATTTTAAAACAATCGACTTACAGCGTTGCCGGATTGCCATTGTTATTAACAAAATTACGGTGTAAATAAACGCAATAACAATATGTTTTGACTTAAAGTTGTTTTCAACCCATAATAAATAAATTTCACATTGTTTAGACGCGGCCAGAACGTCAAACTGTTGTTTTTATTCAATTTAAATCATCAGAGGTACATTTGGCAACGCTTTCACGGCACTCTTGATTTTAAAACTACAAACGAAGTTTTTCGAGCATTTTAATGGCGTTTTCGCGCAAATAACTGCGTTAAAAGGTTTAAGTATTAAATTTTAAACGATAAAATGTAAATTCCCTAAACAGATTATAATTTGGCCGGTGCAAAACAACTCATCAATTATACAGGGACCGAGAATTTACCCTGAAGACGAAAGTTTAGCAGTGAAATTTAATGGGATTTCCATTAAAACTGCGTAAGTACAAGTTTAACTGTGTTAGTTGGCTTGGGAGGTTTCAAAAACCGACAAATCCGTTCAACAGTTTGTCGTGATTTTTTTTGTTGGTTTTTGATGGTATTCAGGAATTAGGTTAGAAATCGCTAATTATGTGACTGATCGCTAATAATGATTTAGTTTTAGTTTTATTGGAAAAAAAATTTGAATGTTTTATGGAAAATAATTATTTTGAACAATTTACAAATATTTTCTCACAAAAATGATTTTTTGAAGTATAAAACCGATTTTATTATACAAACTAAAAAAGGAAGCTAAAAACTTCAAAAGTCAGTGGCTAACATATTTTATTTACTTTTCAAAATAATACGTACCTACGTTCTAAAATTTATTAACATGTCTTTACACCGTTATTTAATTAAACCGTTTTCCAATTTTTCGTTTCAATGGTGTAGATAGCAATTTCTTATTTCTTTCTATCACCTTTTTCTTATTTGAGAGACAGTTCACAACAATAAAAGTATTATAGTGCAAGATTGGGTCCGATATTAACCTCCTAAAATTGCTCTGTTCTTTTTTTCCCGACTTGCAGTAAAACAAATTGCCTTGCAAGATTTAGGGGATTTATATTTAACGATAAATATTTTTAAAAATATGAAAATGAAAATATAACTTCATAGAAAGCAACAAACCAATCAGATAACAGCATTCTCCACAGCACACTGAGTGCGATGCTTCTGATTGGTTCATTGCTTTCCATAGAGCTAATTTCCATAGAAAGTCGCAAATTTCAAGAAACCACTCTGTATAACACTGAATCACCTTGTAGGATTACCGTGTGTTGCCAAATGGGCAATGTAAAGTGTCCCTTGTTTACAGTTTCATTTTAATTAAAGCGAGGACTTAGTACGTTGACGTTACTACGTTGAATATTTGCGTAAGTACAGGTACAATTTTAATTCCGCAATTTGAGTACAAACTGTCCGAAAAAGACGTTTTACCACTTTGTAGTTAAAACTAAACGATCCGAACGCTTTTGAGATGATAAAGATGCGTTTAAAGTTAATGTGTCACGGTTTTCTTACAAGGTTAATATTCATTATTTACCATTCATTAAGCGTGATATATTTTTTTAACAAAATTCTTTATTCCAATCTTCACGTGATAAAATTTCTCCACGTGATTTCCAGAACACCCTGTAGAGTTCAAAACGAAATTTATGACCCATTAATTATCGAAAATGAATTATTTATGGCCTCCCAGAGGATCTTTCAAGACTCAACAAGCTTAATAGCCCAAGGACAAGTTGGAAGTTTTTACGAAATTTAGCACTACTGTGCCATGGGGAATTAAAGATAAAAAAATTAACTGGAGAAATACAGAAACTTCTATAAGTCGGTCTATAACTACAATATTTTTATTTTACACCTTTACACGAATAAAAATTGTATTTTTCATTCTAAATTTAGGTTAAGAAAATCGACCCAACTAACCCTTGGTCACTATTGATTGTTTTTAACATTGCACCACTTATTTTAATTCTATGCAGTAAAATTAAATCCAACCCTGACCTATGGGGGTTGGAAATCACATGACATGCTTGGCCATAATTAAAGCGACTAATATAACAAGGGACATAACTCTCTTAAAACACATAAAATACCAATAAAAAAACTATAATTGAACTCGCGTTGAATATTTTCTGCCTTGTTTTCACGTCAAAACACCAAAAAACACCCACAAAACACGATAATAATGTTTACAACTGTCAAATATTTGACAACTAATTTTCACTTGTCAAGCGCCATCTAGATAAATCGGGAAAACTGTAATTGACAGCAATTTCACTTAAAATCTTCAAATTAACCCAAAGAAAGTGTTTTGGATGTAAACAAATTTCATTTCAGTCTGATTTGGGTTTGTTTACTGTAAAACCTCTCTAAACGGTAAAACAATTCAAAAAATCATTTGTCGACTTTTAGTTGGTAGTTTTTTGCAATAAAAATGCTAATTTACAATACAAAAATATGAAAAATACAAAGAAAAACCGTTTAAAACACTCACCTTCAACATTTATCTACATTTTTCTTAGGTACTTTAAACCACTGAAAACACACAAAATCACATAAATTATTTGTATGATGCACAACTGTCAATTTTAAAACAATCGACATACAGCGTTGCCGGATTGCTATTGTTGTTAACAAAATTACTCTGTAAATAAACGAAATAACAATATGTTTTGACTTAAATCGGTTTTAAATCCATAATAAATAAATTTCACATCGTAGACGCGGCCAGAACGTCAAACTGTTGTTTTTATTTAATTTAAATCATCAGAGGTACATTTGGCAACGCTTTCACGACCCTCTGGATTTTGAAACTATAAACGAAGTTTTTTCGAGCATTTTAATGGCGTTTTCGCGCAAATAACTTCGTTGAAAGGTTCAAATTTTAAATTTCAAACGTTAAAATGTAAATTTCCTAAACAGATTATAATTCGGCCGATGCAAAACAACTCATCAATTATACAGGGACTGAGAATGTACCCTGAAGACGAAAGTTAGCAGTGAAATTTAATGGTATTTCTATTAAAACTGCGTAAGTACAAGTTTAACAGTTTTTGTGTTTTTTTGTTGGTTTTTGATGGTATTCAGGAATCGCTAATTATGTGACTATCGCGATAGCGCGCTAATGGTGTCTAAGGTCTAGGTGTGATAAAAAAAAATCATAGAAATTGTATTTTTAAGGTTGTTAACCTACTTTTTTTTATCAAAAATTGAAATGAACTTTACGTTTTAGATTAATTTAGTTTTCCTGTAAAATTAAATCCAACCTTGAACTTTGAAGGTTGCAAACCCATGTCACGCAGGAAGATGTTTCAAAAACAGACAAATCCATTTTTTACTGGGTGTTTAATGTTCTAGGCCATAATTAAAGCGACTTATATTACAAGGGACATAACTCAGTGTAAGTGTTGGAGGATTAGACGCTAATCCACGTGTATTTCTCGACGTTTCCGTATGTATGCGCCGGGCGAGAAAGCACTTTTTACCGCCCGTTCAGCTTAAGACGAAACCACCGTAATTTACAGGGACTTTAATTAAAATAGTTGACGCGAAAATTCCGCCATCATATGAAGCAGAAATTGAATAAAAAACGTTAACATGGGCATTAAACATTTATAAACAGGTCTGCCAATCCAACAAAAATAAATTTCCGGGGCATTACGAATCATCTAAATATTAACGGATTATCGAGTGTTTTAAGGTTGTAAATAATTGAAAAACGTTTTTAACGTATGCTTTATGACGCGTACGAGGTGTGTTCAGAAAATAACGGGAATTGTTAAATTTCGCGGGTTCGGAAGGTCCGGTTGTCATAAAATTTTCTTTATTATGTTGGTATACATGGCCCCTGAAGTATGATAAAAACGGTTTTCATTGTTTACTTTGTCTGTGGCAGCCGCTAAGGTTAGACGTGTTTTATGAGCTCGGCGATTTTTCGTTCGTTAAAAGAAATGGATCAAAGAATTTGTATCCCATTTTGCTTAAAAAATGAAATAAATTCTGTGAAATGTTAACAAAGGCCTATAGTGAGTCTGCTATAAGTAAAACAAGAGTTTACAAGTGGTATAAGAGTTTCCAAGATGGCCGTGAAGACGTTGAAGATGACGAACGCCCCGAACGCACAAGCACATTAACAACCGATAAAAACATGGAAAAAGTGGAAGAAATGGTTGTAAACCATCAGAGAAGTCGCTGATGATGTTGGTATATCGATTGGCTCATCCCATGAAATTTTTTCGAATGTTTTGGGTATGAAACGCGTGGCAGCAAAATTTGTTAAATTTTGAACAAAATTTTTGGCCAAAAACAATACTGTAATGATGCCCCAGCCTCCATATTCGCCAGACATGCCTCTGTCTGACTTTTTCCTATTCCCAAAAATAAAGAGAACCTTAAAGGGCCGTCGTTTTGCAAGCATAGATGACATTAAAAGCGCATCGCTGAAAGAACTAAAGGCTATTCCAAAGATCGAGTTTTAGAAGTGTTTCGAGTATTGGAAGAAGAGCTGGCACATGTGCGTAATATCCAATGGGGACTATTTTGAAGGCGACAACTTTAATGTAGACGAATAAATTAATATTTGTTTCAAAAAACGACAATCCAGAATATTTTCTGAACACACCTCGTATGATCGATTGTATCATGAAACAATTTATTAATTTGCGGTCTACCACATTCTATAACGCAAATGGTTGCCTACTTATAACAATTTGTCCCCGAAAGTTGTCTGTACTGTTTTCAAAACCCTCTCGATGTCGATCAAGTTCTTCTGGGCTTGTTTGTAGATTTTTCCCTCAGGGAGGGATTCGGGTTCAAACTTAAGCAAGCCCATAGCCTCCATTAGGATGTTTTTGGACTCCATTAAGGCCTCCGGGAGACTCTCTGGCGATCCTCTACGCCCAATCTCGGCTATTGCAGCATGTAACTCGAAAAGCAGCAACCCCGTCAATCTGTGTTCACCCGGTACCAACTTCTTGATCATGTTGGTGAGACTTCTGCACAGTTTAGCTTTCAGCAGAATATCGTCTTCGCTTAAGTTGGGTAATAGGGTTTTTTCCTCATGGCCCAAGAGTTGACTTAGATTTATTTTGGCATCTGTTAGATAGTAGTGGTTAGAATGTAAGAAGTCTTCGGCGTGCGAAATGTATTCCTTGCAGCTCTTGGAGCTTCCTTTTTCGATTAACGATAAGTCCTTGCCTTAAAATGAAGATATGGATATAGATTTATTAATTTGTATACCGATTTTTTATTTCTGAATTAACATTTTTATGTATAATAATCCTAACTATCTTCAACTTCAATCTAATCTGACTTATCCCACAAAATTTTCCAATTTTACTTTTTATGAAATAATGTCATACATATACATTTCACTGTCATATTATGACTGTGAGGCGTATTTGTCGCCTCCTGAAAAATTGTACGAATGTAGAATCCAACATATTAGAAATCTGACATATTTGGAAATATTCTCAAAAGCTTCCTAGAAGCTCCATAAGAAACCTTCTAAGAACATTCCAAAAACGTATTCTTAAAATGTTCTTAGAATGCTTTTTAGGAAGGTTTTAAGAAGCTTCTAAGAATCTAATTGCATCATTAAAAGCGTATCTATTGAATGTTTTAAAAGTCCCTAAGAACATTCTTAGCAATAAGGGAATATTCCATTATTCCGGGTCATATCTTCTTAGAAGATTCTTAGAATCAAATTTTGCTATCAGGGGAATAGATTATGAAATTCTGAATTCAGCAATATGCATGGATGTTAGTTTAAAATATGCATTTTGCTAAAATAACAATTTCATAATCTATTTGATTAATTCTTACCTAGTCTTTCCAGAATTTCATGTACAGAATAGGAATTCATAATTTTTTTACATTTGTTGCACTCCCAGTCTTGCAATTTATCCCCATCCTCATTATCCAAAAACGTTTTTGGTAGTATGTACCCATTACACTCATTTTGGCACTTCATGGTGCTGAAGTTCGTCCCACCTTCAGTGACATCCTTACATCTGGAGCAGTTACACCAAAAATATTTTGTTTGGTACAAATGGTGACGTCTATTCGAAGTACCCCAAAGAGGATCTGTGTAGCATATGGTAAGATGGTCACCTTTGGATATCTTTTGTCCAGAGGTTATTAAAATTTGCCCATCGTCAGTGAAACTTTTTCTGCAGTTGGGTCTGCAGTTGTGTTCAAACATGGAGCATGTTTGGTATATTGCCTCGTAGCATGGCTCTGAAAGGGGAACTTCGTGTCCATTCACCTAAATAATTATAGTAATATAAGGTTTTCTGTAACATTAAAACTTACAGTGAGTATTCCAACAATCCTCAGTATCTCTTCTTCAGTAAAAACCGTGCCCAGCTTGAAGAACCTTAAAATGAACTGGGCTATTGTAACCCTATCATTTTCGTATTTCGGATGATTTTTTCTGTGCTCGCAATGACTCTCAAGCTTGTCGATCTTCTCCCAAACTTCCGGTAAAAACTGTTTTTGATACAAACACCTCAACACCGTAATACATTGGTAGATAGGATGCACGATGCCAAAATTTTTGACCGCAACCTGAGGAAAAAACAAACTGTAACATACCAAGACTTTCAACCCCCTCAAAACTCACCTTGTCCCCTCTCATGACGGTGTATCTGCATTCGGGTATATGAGCTGGGGATTTCTGGCAGGTTTCGCTGCAGAAAGGCCATCCGCATTTGAAGCAAGGTTTGCAGTTTTCGTCGACGGTGTTTCCGCAACCTAGACACACAGGGACGGTGTTCTCTGCCGGGCCCCATATCAATGGCGCCTCCTTTAGAACGATTTCGTTCGGTTTTATGTCTCTCGTCGCTTCCAGATATCTACCCAGCGTGTCGTCTTGGCACACCTAAGGTTTTTGGTTCGTTTTTATGTGGTTTTGGCACTGTTTTAAAGCTTGTGGTCATTTTTGCTTGCTGTCATCTTATCTTGTCTTCATTTTAGTTTGACTGCTTGGCTTGTAGCCATTTTAGCTTGTCGTCATTTTTGCTTGTCGTCATCGTAGCTTGTAGTCATTTTATCTTGTCTTCGTCTTTGGTTGTAGTCATTTTAGCTTGTCGCAATCTTAGCTGGTAGTCATTTTTGCTTATCGTCATCTTAGCTTGTGGTCATTTTAGTTTCACTGTTTGGCTTGTAGCCATTTTAGCTTGTAGTCATTTTGCCTTGTAGTCATCTTAGCTTGTAATCATTTTTGCTTGTCGTCGTCTTAGCTTGTAGTAATTTTAGCTTGCCGTCATCTTAGCTTGTAGTCATGTGGTCATTTTATCTTGTCGTCATCTTTGGTTGTAGTCATTTTAGCTTGTCGCAATCTTAGCTTGTAGTCATTTTTGCTTATCGTCATCTTAGCTTGTTAGTTTCACTGTTTGGCTTGTAGCCATTTAAACTTGTCTTTTTTTTCGTCGTCATCCTTAGCTTGTCGCAATCTTAGTTTGTATAGTCGTCGCGGCGAATGTTTCAAATTGCGTCATCAATGTCGAATGTCAAAAACCGATTTCTCGACATACGGTTAACCTAGCGGTTCCTTGTATTATATTATACGTAAAAGAAAACAACAATAATTGTAATGTCTGTGCTTGGTTCAGAATTTGATGACGCAATTTGAAACATTCGCCGCGACAACTATAGTTATTTTTACTTGTCGTCATCTTATCTTGTCATCATTTTGGTTTCACTGTTTGGTTTGTAGCGGCTACAAACCAAACATTGAAACTAAAATGATGACAAGATAAGATAAGATACAATGTAGCCATTTTAGCTTGTCGTCATCTTAAATTGTAATTATTTTTGCTTGCAGTTACTTTTGCTTGTAGTCATCTTAGCTTGTAGTCATTTTAACTTGTCCTCATCTTAGCCTATAGTCATTTTAATTTCACTGTTTGGCTTATAGCCATTTTAGCTTGTCGTCATCTTAGCTTGTAGTCATTTTGCTTGTCGTCATCTTAGCTTGTAGTCATGTTACCTTGTCGTCATTTAAGCTTGTAGCCATTTTAGCTTGTAGTCATTTTAGCCTCTCGTCCTCTTTGTTTGCTTGTCATCATTGTACCTTGTAATTTTAGCTTGTAGTCATTTAAGTTTGTCGTCATCTTAGCTTGACCTTATTTTTTCACTTAAAATAGAAATCTACTATACCTTGTATGGTTTGCACGCCTTCTTATGAGTTTTCCAATCACTTTTTTGATGTTCCTTGGTACAATAAAACACGAGATGACAACCTGCGCACTTTTGTCTGGCAGATTTAGCACAAACCTGGCATAACGTTTCTTCAGACATTTTTAACACTTATAACTTGATTAGTTTATAAACAATAATTGCTGAACAAAACGCGGCTAACCTTGACTTTACTTCAATAAATTTATGATATACCTACACACAAAAAATATGTGTAAATATTATACCATGTGCATGTGACATGCGTGTTTATTACATATACACCTAGTAGGAAATGGGACATGCAATATCTAATTATAGAGAATTCTTAATAAAATGGGGGAACTTATTTTTAAAGTGTGTTTGATCGGTTGCCTACATACAACTTCTGGTCACAATATACATTAGATTAAATAAAACACTTGATATCTATAAATAAGCATTATATTTCTATTAATTCATAAATCATATTAGCAATAATGCTCTGGAAAATCTTCTTTGTAACCCAAGCAGTTCCAAAATCTTTCAGCATAATCTCCAATTGATACGTTTTTTTGGTTTGCGAATAGATGGATGGCAAAACGGTCTCTGCAGTCGAAAACCTTGTCGCAATTTGTGTCCTGAAACAAGTACACCCATGCAGATTGGCCGCAATCAGAATGTCAAATTACTTACAAATTCGTTATATCTTGAGGTACTCTTCAAAACGGTTTTCGTAAGGCATTGATCATGCTCCATACATTTTTCAAATGTTTCATTGCTGTCATTTTCTCGTCGCTTCCAGATATCTACCCAGCGTGTCGTCTTGGCACACTTATAACACTTATAACTTGATTAGTTTATAAACAATAATTGCTGAACAAAACGCGGCTAACCTTGACTTTACTTCAATAAATTTATGATATACCTACACACAAAAAATATGTGTAAATATTATACCATGTGCATGTGACATGCGTGTTTATTACATATACACCTAGTAGGAAATGGGACATGCAATATCTAATTATAGAGAATTCTTAATAAAATGGGGGAACTTATTTTTAAAGTGTGTTTGATCGGTTGCCTACATACAACTTCTGGTCACAATATACATTAGATTAAATAAAACACTTGATATCTATAAATAAGCATTATATTTCTATTAATTCATAAATCATATTAGCAATAATGCTCTGGAAAATCTTCTTTGTAACCCAAGCAGTTCCAAAATCTTTCAGCATAATCTCCAATTGATACGTTTTTTTGGTTTGCGAATAGATGGATGGCAAAACGGTCTCTGCAGTCGAAAACCTTGTCGCAATTTGTGTCCTGAAACAAGTACACCCATGCAGATTGGCCGCAATCAGAATGTCAAATTACTTACAAATTCGTTATATCTTGAGGTACTCTTCAAAACGGTTTTCGTAAGGCATTGATCATGCTCCATACATTTTTCAAATGTTTCATTGCTGTCATTTTCACCTTCTTCAAGGGTTTCTTTCCAATAATCATAACTAATAGATTCCCTCGCACAGGAATGTAAGGACCAACAACTAGTTAAGGCGTGGCACATACATACGACGCATTCGTTATCAGAAGTCTCATCAGCTGAAAAACAAAAAACAGTATAATATATTATGTATGTATAACATATTATGTCAAAAAAACGTACCTACCTTGAACAAGCGTAATGAAAAAAAATATCGCAAATATAAATTTTAACATATTCATTTGTTAAATTATGAGATAGAAGTAAATATAATGTTATTAATTTTATGTTATCATTTTCGCCAAATTGTGGTTTAGATAATGCTCAAGGAATTTAAAACTTTCCAGAAACGAAATAAGCAGGCTGTTCTTTCTAAAACAGGAACATCACCATGAACTTCATAAATCGATCTTAAATCTACATTGATGACAAGCTAAAAGCACAAACTTAAATGACTACAAGCTAAAATGAACAATTACGATAACAAGCTAAAATGACTAGAAGTTAAGAACTCAGATGAAGACGAGCAAAAATGACAATAAGCTACGCTGACGTCAAGCTAAAATGACTACAAGCCAAAGCAGAGAAACTAAAGATGACGGCAAGCAAAAATGACTACAAGCTAAAATGACTACAGGCTAAGTTAACAACAAGCTAAAAGCACAAACTTCAATGACTACAAGCTAAGATAACGAAAAGCTAAATTGACTAGAAGCTACAATGACGACAAGTAAAAATGACTACATGCTAAAATAACAACAAGCTAAGTAAATTACAAGCTAAAATGACTACAAGCTGAATTAAAAACAATCTTTAATGACTACAAGCTGAGATGACGACAAGCTACAATAACAACAAGCTAAACTGAGTACAAGCTACAATAACGAAAAGCTAAAATAACAATAAGCTAAACTGAGTACAAGCTAAAATGATTACAAGAAAAATTAACAACAAGCTAAAAGAACAAACTTCAATGACTACAAGCTGAGATGACGAAAAGCTAAATTGACTAGAAGCTACAATGACCAAAAGCTAAAATGGCTACATGCTAAAATAACAAGCTAAACTGAGTACAAGCTAACTTAATTACAAGCTAAAATGACTACAAGCTTAATTAAAAACAATCTTTAATGACTACAAGCTGAGATGACGACACGCTACAATAACAAAAAGCTAAACTGAATACAAGTTAAAATGACTACAAGCAAAATTAACAACAAGCTAAAAGAACAAACTTCAATGACTGCAAGCTAAGATGACGAAAAGCTAAATTGACTAGAAGCTACAATGACGACAAGCTAAAATGACTACATGCTAAAATAACAATCTAAACTGAGTACAAGCTAACTTAATTACAAGCTAAAATGACGACACGCTACAATAACAAAAAGCTAAAATAACAACAAGCTAAACTATGTACAAGTTTAAATGACTACAAGCTAAAAGAACAAACTTCAATGACTTCAAGCTAAGATGACGAAAAGCTAAATTGACTAGAAGCTACAATGACGACAAGCTAAAATGACTACATGCTAAAGTAACAAGCTAAACTGAGTACAAGCAAAGTTAATTACAAGCTAAAATGACTACAAGCTAAATTAAAAACAATCTTAAATGACTACAGGCTGAGATGACGACAAGCTACAATAACAAAAAGCCAAAATAACAATAAGCTAAAGTGGGTACAAGCTACAATATCGAAAAGCTAAAATAACAACAAGCTAAACTGAGTACAAGTTAAAATAACTACAAGCAAAATTAACAACAAGCTAAAAGAACAAACTTAAATGATTACAAGCTAAGATGATGATAAGCTAAATTAACTACAATCTAAGATAACAAGGTTAAATGACTACAAACTACGATGACGACAAGCTAAAATGACTACAAGCAAAAACAGTGAAACTGAAATGACGAAAAGCTCTGTATGGATACGTAAACACGGTCTATTCTCATTTGCACGCTCGTTCTATTCTTATTTGCATTACTGCAATAAGCAGATGACGTAAAATCGAATTCCACACAAAAAATAGAAATATTTTTATATTATCAGAACAGGTGATGGAGCCTTATAGATATAAAAGATGTATGAGCATTAAATTTTGTTAATATCTAGTTACAAAGAAAACAGATAAAAAACGAATAAAACTCTTTTATTGTGTGCGTTTTAAAGCTACGCCAACTTATTATAAGAATGAATTATGTTAAAAATAGTTTTTGGCCGTATCTTCAATATTTATGTATCTCCCAGAGCAAAAATTTCAGAAGTGGGGAAGATTTTAATTTTATACAAAATTTTGCGAACAATCGTCGTCCTACCAAAAGCGAACGTTTAAATTAAATTAAAACAACATTAAGTGCGGTTGCCAAAAAAATATCAAATACGCTAATTGATGTCCAGTGTGTAATAGATTGTTTACATATATACAAGATGCATAAAAAACATAGGAATAAGGTAAGTTGCAGAGTGTATCGCTAAAAGTATGAACCAAATGTTAAAATATTTAGAAAATGAATTTTTTTGACACATTAATATTAATATTAAACGCATGTTTCCATGACAAGTGATCTTTAACAAAATTATTAAATAATTTCTTGAAAAGTTTATAATAACGTTTGTACAGACATATACATATATATATTATAAAAATAAGTAAAGCTGTGAACACAAAGTGTTGCTGTTCTCAGACAGTGTTCCAGATTTCAAAATATTGACTGTATCCCGGAGCATTCGCCATTTTTGCAAAAATGTTTTGCATGCATGCAATCATGATTTGGGTCATTTTCAAGAAACACCCGCTTTTAGGAAAAATGAAGATAAAATATTTTAACAAAAACCAAAAAAGTAACGAAATAGACATTGGTATCACAACGGACAGGGGTACACAAAGGACTTAATCAGATAACGTAAAAAAAAACTATATAGGGTGGTACGATTTTAGAGTAATGCATAAACAAAATCTCTTGTAGTGGTGCTCACTTGCAGAATAACAACTTAGATTTCTAAATTGTAGACACCCTTTTTCTTTGACTATAAGCTGGTGAAGGTCCCTTTTAGTACTTTTATATTGCGTGGAATTTTTCCTTGGATGTAATCTATATCATGAGTTGTAATTACAAAAAATTTTAAATTGGTTAAACATAAACTACTTTTAATAAAAGCGACGGTAAATATCCACTTCGTTGTCGAAAAATTCTATTGCGTTACCCTCAATTCCATTGCGTTACCATAAGGTAACATAGTGGACTCGGCAACGCAGTGGACAAAGTTTTGTAAAACCATATTTAAAAAATAATAATAAGACATTATAGTCATTAATTACTCTCAATGAGCTTTAGTGCCCTAAAATAAACATAAACATGAAAAATAGTATTTTTTCTTACTTTATTTTTATTATTTTTTTGAGTAACTTAGCGGACAAACAATTATTACATTCGCGTTACCCGCACCTGTTTCAACCGATATCTTCTTCCTGATTGAATAAATAAATTCAGCTGGGTAATGTGTACGTCCGAACACCATTTGTTGATCACGTGAGTACCAAAAAAGTTGCCATATATATGTTTTTTTTAATATTCTATCGGTAACGCGACGGACGTAACGCAACGGAAAAAATGTCAAATTTAAAAAAAGTAGATTAAAATTAATTATTTTGTATATAAATTGTTTACTGTATTAACTAAGGATGTTATGGATTGCTATAAAGCAACACAAAGTTCTGGTTATTCAATATTTAAAAAAAACATGTATGTAAGTTTCATAAAACGCTAATGGGACATGCGAAAATGTGTGTTTCACAAGTTTCAAAATTAAAAAAAAAAATATTCTGAAATAACTAAACAAAAATTTTCTGAAAGAGTTTACTAAGGGCTTGTTAGTCTTTCACTTGGATTTTAAATCAATAAGATCCGATAATTTTTAACAAAGTTATTGGAATTCAAACTTACGGGCAGCAGAAGGCGGGTGTTTTTTGAAAACGACCCACATATTAATAATGATACACTAGTTAGTAAAAACCAACAGCCCTGATCTATAACATTTATTTTAAAACAGGCAGTTTAATAAACATTTTAAAGAAATGTAAATATATCTTAATTAATCGTTTATATTATATCCATTAAAATAATAATTAAAGTGATTGATTTTTTTCAAAGCTAACCGCTTTGTATTTTTCTATTTATAAAATCACCAGAAATTTAGATTAGATAAAAATTATAATAATTCCACAATATTGCGAAAAATGTTTTTTAGTGTTAAACATTTTTTTTTTCAGAAATCAAGAAAAAGCAGGTCGCAATCAAAAGTTGTAGAAGACGCTTTAGAAAACCAGGAAAAATATGAAATAAAAACGTCAAAAGTAATGGGAAGGTAGGTAATAAAATAAAAATCGAGCATATGTTTTCTATCGAAAATATATATCTGTTTATATAAATTTTGACAAGCTTGTTTGGATTCATCCAAATATTACATTTTATTATCATGGAGCTCAATGACAAAAATCTTAATAATAGTTTTGGAACCAGTCCAAAATTATAGACGCACACTTAATTAAAACATGCATCAATATTTTTAAATTTTATGCTGCGGCAACGTTGCAAATTTAGGGGTTTGCAAATACGGAACTAAAAATTAATTGCATTGATTAAAACAAACTAAACTACACAATCCACACAACAAGGTCTGTTCTATCTCATGCTAAAAATACTAAAAATCACTGCAACACTGCACAGAATGTTGTTTACAATTCTTGTGCTTTGGGTTTGTGCTGTTTAATAACTGTTTTAAACGTTGTGTTTCTTACAGAGGCACTTGTAAGCCTCAAATAAGGCCTTTAAGTGCTAAGGACAACCATTTTACAACTCTTTTATAATAAATATACCTTATTCTATCAGGGCTGTCAAAAGACAATTTGAAGGTTAATTTGTGAGTTATAATTTAACCTTAAAATTGACATTTGACAGTTTTATGACAGCCCTGATAGAATAAAGTTTATTTTGTACAATAGAGGAGTAAAATGTTTGTTCTTAGCACTTTAAGGACTCTTTTAAGGCTTACTATGAGAAACACAACGTTTAAAACGATTATTAATCTGTATAAACAGAGCACAAACCCAAAGCACAAAAATTGTAAACAACAAAAATGGCCACCGTTAAACTGTGCAGTGTAGCAGTGATTTTTTGTATTTTTAGTACGAGATAGAACAGACCTTGTTGTGTGGATTGTGAGTAAAATCATATAAAAAAGTAGTTAAATATAGGTGACTACGGCCCAGGAGACAAAGTATTCCTAGCGGATAATAATCTTCGCTTTGAATAGTTATCTTTTTATATCGATATTATATAATAATTAACAAGTAAATGATCAATAATAAAAATTACTGTCAATTTGACAGTGTCAAGGTCTTCAGCAGAAGTACCATTTTTTTAATACTAAAAATACTAATTTTCATTGCTGCCAACCAATTTTTTGTTTATAGATACATGGTTGCCACTACAGACATAAACCCTGGAGAGGTTATCCTATCGGAAGAAGCCATTGTGGTTGGACCCTGCGTTCATTGCAAACTGCAATGTTTGGGTTGTTATACCGAGTTGGGTGGTAAAGTAGTGAGGTACAACTTACATCCTTTTCACTTTAAAAACATAATGTAAAGCATTTTTCAAGGTGTACAGGTTGTGGTTGGTTTTTGTGTTCCCTAACTTGTCCTGGTTCGAATAAAAAGCATGGCCATACAAAATTAGAATGCTCCATACTGAAAGAAACAAAATCCTCCAAATATTTTGATGTTAAAACTGCCCAAAACCATTTAGCTGCTATAGTACCTCTAAGGTAATTAACTTTTCAACATTTATTTTTTTATTTACCCCTTTTATTTGTAAAACTAGATGCCTCCTACTAAAAACCACCGATCCCTCCATGTATGACTTCCTAATGGATATGGAAAGTCATACAGAAATAAGGAAATCCATTCCTGAAATATGGAACAATAACCAAATAAATGTGGTAGATAGAATAACAAAACAGTGGGGTCTCACAGAGTTTACCCCAGAAGAAATACATGTAATTTGTGGAATTTTGGAGGTATATTTTTGAGTCAAAAGTACCAAATATCCAGACTGCATCATATAGGTATATTTTAGGTGAATTGCTTTGAAATTGGCCAGCAAGACGTCAATATTCGAGGCCTGTATCCTAAAGCGTTCCTCATGTCTCACGACTGCATACCAAACACCAACCATTGCGACTCAGATGATTATAGATTGACAGTTAGAGCTTCTGTTTCTATTGGTGAAGGCTCACCAATCACGTTAAGCTACGCTTACACCCTACAGGTAAAACAAATGGAGTAGGTACCCTGATAGCAAAATTTGATTCTAAGAATCTTCTAAGAAGATATGACCCGGAATAATGGAATATTCTTAGAACCTTCCCTTATTGCTAAGAATGTTCTTAGGGACTTTTAAAACATTCAATAGATACCCTTTTAATGATGCAATTAGATTCTTAGAAGCTTCTTAAAACCTTCCTAAAAAGCATTCTAAGAACATTTTAAGAATACGTTTTTGGAATGTTCTTATAAGAAGGTTTCTTATGGAGCTTCTAGAAAGCTTTTGAGAATATTTCCAAATATGTCAGATACCCACGTTCTAATATGTTGGATTCTACATTCGTAAAATATTTTGGGTTGTGTATTTAATACTAAGTAAAGGTACCTTTATGCGTAGATTATGCATACATACCATAGTATATTTTACTATTATATAGGTACCTAACTGAACTGAATATGCTTAACAGAATGTTCCAGGAATATTCCTAAATTAACTTTCTATAGCAATATACTTTCTCAACATTCTAAGCATATGTTTAGAGTGGATTAATTTTTACCACTAAACTTTGAACCTGCCTATAGGTCTTAGGATTATGCTATATTTCTTTTAAGCATGTTCTTTAGAAGAAATATAGCATGATCCTAAGAATATTCTCACTGGAACGTTTAAAAAACATTCTTAGAACATGACTAGAAGAAATATAGCATGATCCTAAGAATATTCCCACTGGAAGGTTTAAAAAACATTCTTAGAATAAACTGTGCTATCAGGGTACCATGGTACAAGAGTCTGAGATAGCCACAACATGGTACAAACACTGGTAAAGGAGTTTTCTCCAAAATCAGAGCTTGCATGCCTTTGTATTTGCTGCTCATATTTCGTTTTGATAGTTGCCTAAAAATGTTAATAAGTGAGTGGTAGAAACAAATGTGCAAGAACATGTTTTCTTGTACCATGGTAGGTACAAAAGGTACCACTTCAGCTGCACCACTACATTTTGGCATCATAAATAATACAGTATTTCTAGAATACTCCAAAAAGGAGGGAACACTTACTGGACAACAAATTCTTTGAATGTAATTGTTCGAGGTGCCAGGACCCTGCTGAACTAGGGGCCTACAGTAGCGCCCTCTACTGCCCAAAGTGCTCTAAAGGGCTAGTTCTAGCAAACAACCCCTTGGACTTTGAAACGTCATACAGTTGCACCTCTAAAACCTCAGGAAAATGCGCGGGTTACACCATAACAAATAACTCCATGAAGTTACTGATAAATAGGGTTTCCGATGAGGTGGATAATATAAATTCCAATGACGTTAAAGCCATGGAGTTCTTTATAAATAAGTATAGGAACGTTCTGCACCCCTACCATTACATTTTCCTGGGGGTTAAGATATCCCTCAGTCAAGTGTACGGTAAAATTCAAGGCTATCTCATAAACGAACTCACAGAAGACCAACTACAACGAAAAATAGATATATGCAACGAATTATTGTCTATTTTCGACATCATTGAACCAGGCTACACCAGAATAAGAGGTGAAAATACAAATACACATCTGATACATAATTTTAACCTTGAAATTTCAGGGGTGACTCTATACGAGCTACACGCACCTCTTATGATCCTGCTGACGAAAAAGTTCGAGAAAAATCTAGTCTCGAAACAGGAGCTCAAAGTGAAGTTGAGAGAGGTGGTGAAGTGCCTTTTGGAGGCTAGCACCATTTTGGGTAATGAGCCCATAGCCTCCTCCGAGGGTATGATGGGCTTGGCCGCCCAACAAGCCCTCTTGCAGATTAAAGATTGGGAAAAAATTGTGGGCAGAATTTGAAATGTGATTATTTGTTCTTTGTTAATAAATATTTTTATTATTTTTGTTATTTACTATTTTTACCTAAATTTGATAGTTTTTAAGGTTATTTTTGTATACCTTATTTGACAATTTTTGACATTTTTGGTTAATTCCAAAGTTTTTTAAGGCTATCACCACCAATTTCACAGTTTCTGGCATTTTTAAGGTCATTGTTGTCAAAATCTGACATTTAACATTTTTAAACCTTATTAGACAATTTTTGACATTTTTGGTCAATGCCAAAGGTTTTTAAGGCTAGCACCACCAATTTGACAGTTTTTGGTATTTTCAAGGTCAATGTTGTCAAAATATGACGTTTAATTTGACATTTAATATATCTATTTTAACCCTGCTGTTGGTGTTTGACAATTTTGGTCAATTCCAAAGGTTTTAAAGGCTGGCACTACCAATTTGATAGTTTTTGTCATTTTCAAGGTTATTAATAACAACAATTGTTGTCAAAATTTGGCGTTAAATTTGACATTTAAAATTTTTAAATCTCCTTGAATTTTTTGGTAAATTTTAAAGGTTTTGAAGGCTAGCACCACCAATTTGACAGTTTGAGGCATTTTCGAGGTTAATTGTGTTAAAATTTGACATTTACTATTATATTTGACAGTTTAGAATTTTATTGTAAAAAATGTCATTAAAACGCCAAAAGTTTCAAATATTGATGACACATGTGACCTTGACGGCAATTTTAAGGTCACATTTGTCAAAATTTGTTGATTTTTGAAATTTTATTGTAAATAAAACTTGAACAAAATCAAAAATGGAAAAAAAATATTACAGAAAAATAAAAATTATGACATCATTTATGGTTTTTTTATTTAAAATTGTCATAAAATCGTCAAAACTGTAAAATATTGACAATTGTGACCTTAACGGCAATTTCAAGGTCACGTTTGTTAACATTTGAAATTTATTTTAACATTTAATACCATTGTTGATTTTTGACATTTTTTTGCAAATAAAACTTGAAGAATAGCAAAAAATGTAAAAAAAGTAATAATGAAAAATAAAAATCATGACATTATTTACTGCAAACAAAAAAATGCAAAAAAAATCGCAATGAAGGATTTTATTGTATTATGCCTGAATAACCCCTTAAGTTCCAAAAACCGCTTTTAACTACTTTGGTCAATTTTTAAGGTTTCGAAGGCTAACACTACCAATCTGACAGTTTGGGGTATTTTTAAGGTAATTTGTGTCAAAACTTGACATTATTTTGACATTACCAATTTTGACAGTTTTGACATTTTTTTGTAAAAAATAGCACAAAAAAAATGTAAAAAAAATAATAGGGAAAAATAAAAATCATGACATTATTTACGGTTTTTTATATTTGAAAATGTCATAAAAACGCCAAACTGTCAAGTATTGACATATGTGACCTTGACGGCAATTTCAAGGTCACATTTAATAAAATTTGACATTTATTTTGATATTTAAAATTATTGTTGATTTTTGACAGTTTTGACATTTAAAAAAAATAAAACTAAATAACACAAAATTATTAATGTAAAAATGTATTAAATAAAAATTATAACAATATTTACGGTTTTTTGTATTTGAAAATGTCAAGAAAACGCCATAACTGTCAAATATTGACAGGCGTGACCTTCACAGCAATTTCAAGGTCACTGTTGTTAAAATTTGACATTAAATATTATTGTTGATTTTTAACAGTTTTTGCATTTTTTTGTAAATAAACTTGAATACCACAAAATCAAAATCATGAAATTATATACCTACCTACCTACAGTTTTTTTGTATTTGAAAATGTCATAAAAACGCCAAAACTGTCAAATATTAACAGAAGTGACCTTGGCAGCAATTTTTAAGTTGTTGATTTTTACATTTTTTTGTAAATAAAACTTGAAATATAGCACAAAATCAAAAATGTAAAAAAAATATTATGGAAAAATAAAAATTATGAAATTATTTACGGTTTTTTGTATTTGAAAATGTCATTAAATCGCCGAAACTGTCAAATATTGACACATTTGTCAAAATTTGATAGTTTATTTATTTTATAGTGTATTTACAAAATTTCTTACAAAAATAAAAACAACCCTTCAATAAAAACCCGACTCGTGCTATTTTACCGGAAATGTCATTTATAACAATAACCCAGATTTTCTAAAAGAAAAGGTGAATTATACCCATTTAAATAAATACAATGAAAACAACCCCTTAAATGTAGTAAAGCACACCTGGACATACATCTTAAGCCGTTAAGAGAAAATAGTCTTTTGTTAGGGCCCGCTAAAAATTTTACTACATTTTTTTACCCCTTAAAATTTTTATTATTACCATAAACATGCTTATTGTGCATCTAAACGACCTATAAGCGTCATATTTTCGCGTTGAAACGGTGTTTTCACGTCTTATTTTAAGGGATATCGAGTCTCCGCGGGCAAGATCAAGGCAGCCGTGCACCCACGGCACCCCTCGGCCATGCGTCAACGAAATCTAGCACGCGGGGGATGCGATCGAATTGCGCAAACATAAGCGAATCGCCGCAACCGACTTTGATGCCCCGCCCACTTTCCCCGTGTAGCTTAAGTGTCGAGTCGGATTTGCGCATGGCACGAAAAATTGATCTGTCATGAGTAAGGGTGGTTGAGAACCCTTATTGCTCAGTTACATATGTGCCATGACGTGCACCCGGTTTTTAAATCGATCGCTACGAAAACACAGCAGTGAAAATCGCTGAAAAATCTGTTTGATTCACTCGGAAAAGACGGTTTTAAGTTTTAGGTTATTTAAGTACATGCAGCCCGGTGAATGTCACGCAGTGTTTTGTTTTTCAAGTGACAGCAAAAACTAAGGTAAGTCGACTTTAATTAATTTAATGTCCCTTACTTTAACACATAAAAGATTTTATTTAAATCTAAGATTTTATGCAATGTATTTATTTTGTTGATAAAAAGGTACCTAATGCAGGTTATATTACTTATACAGAGCATTTATTAATTTGATACTAAATATAATTTTTATAAATCACCTTACCTACCTAAGAAAAATGTTGGTTTTAATTTTTTTTTTTTTATTATACATTTTTGAGGTGTAAAAATCTAGTAAAAACGTTTTCAGGACTACAAATGTCAAAATAAGACATTTTGACTGCCAACAAAAAAATACAAAACATTTCGCATTAAGGGATCTTACTGCATTTCACCTGAATAACCCCTTAAGTTCCAAAAACCACTCTTAACTACTTTGCACACTTAAATCGGTAAAAACTTACTTATCACGTCAAATATCTCAAAAAATAAAAAACAAAATAAAACAAACAATTACTTATTGCTCAAAAAAATCGCTCATTAACACAAAAAATAATCCACAGCTCATAGCAATGGAAGCATTGAGATCGTCGGTGAAAAAACGGACGACAAATTTTCGCGAAGACGAGACCAAGTTGTTGATACAACTTTGGGGTAGCTCCACCATACAGAACAAGCTGTACCTAACGCACCGCAAGGCCCCTGTTATGAGGCTACTGGCCGCCAATATGCAGCAGAGGGGATTCTATCGAACCCCGGACGAGATTAAAACTAGGATAAGAAATTTGAAATGCTTGTACCACAGGATAAAAAGGAGTATGCAGAGTGGGACTGGGCTGGGGACTATAGACCCCGACTGGCCGCATTTTAAGGCTATGGACGATATTTTGACCAAGCAAAGTTTTCTTAAGAAGGATATTTACAGCGAGAATGTTTTCGAGGGGCCCCGATGCGACGATATCAAACAAGAAATCGATGATATCGATATTAACGACGATATGGAATCGTATACAACTAATAGTTTTGGAGAGTGAGTACTATTTTTTTTTATTAAAAATAAATAATTTTGCAACTTATTTACATTAATATTATTATCCATGGAAATAAACTAAGGTAAAATACGCATTCCATGAAATTGACGTCGATTTCTATATTGGTTCTATGATTTATAATATATCGAAATTTTTTGAACTGGTTGGTAAAATTCTGGAGAGAACTTTAAAAAATTGTAAGTAACAAATAGTTTTCCCAAAATCATTGGAATTCGTGTTAAATTTTTAAAAACTAAAATTTGAAAGCTAAAATGACATTAATCAAAAATTGTAAAATGATTTATTAGTGCAAATGGCCAGATTTTGTGGTAGAATAAGGAATATTTTAATAAGAAAATGTTTAAAAAACAGTAATTTATGGTAAAAATACTACACATGATTTTTATTATTTAAAAAAATGCAGAAATTGATAAAGAAAAATATGGAAAAACTGAAAAAAATTGTATATAAATACTAAAGTAAAATAACACTACAAAAAAGTTAATAAAATTTAAAGAAGAAATTGTCAAAAATTAAAGAAAAATCATCAAAAAATATCCTACAAAAACTGTATATTTGTACCTACCTAAAACTATGAAAAAAAAATATTAAAAATCCTTTTGTACTTTCAGATCAGACTATGAAGACGAAGCCTCCCAAATGCCGCCCCTCACCCCCGCCCCCGTCGAGTCGAAACCGCCGCCGGAAGAGCCGAAAATCACCCTGAAGGTGATAAAAGAAGCGAAAGAAATGGCCGGCAAAGAACCGTCAAAATGCCAGCAACAGACCGTCAAACAGTTGCCGGCGCTACTGCCCAACTTGACCACGCTGCCGGGGGGGATACGGACCGGCGCCGGGGGCACGAGCCTGCCCTTCCCCCTTTTGATACTCAACGGGTTGCCTAACCAGCAGAATTTGGGGCAGGAGAAGAAAGACGGCACCCCCCACCATCAATTTTGCGCAAAAATCCGTCCCGATGCAGATGCAGAACGTTGGCAATATGTTGGGTAAGTCGCTGTCAAAAATTTTACAGTTTTTAGGTTAAATTTGAGTTTTTTGACATTTGACAGTTTTTAGGTTACATTTGTTGTTTTTTGTTGTTTTTATAGGCATTGGTGTCAAACTTTGACAGATTGTTAATTGTTTATGCAAATGTCAACAGTCAACTTTAAACTGACAACCCATTTTTGGATTTTGACATTTTTAGGTTAAATTTTACATTTTGACATTTGACAGATTCATAATTTGACAGATTGTGAATTGTTTTTGCAAATGTCAAATTTGGGTGTTTTAAATTTTGACTTTGACAGTCAACTTTAAACTGACAACCCATTTTTGGATTTTGACATTATTAGGTTAAATTTGACATTTGACAGATTTTTTTTTAAGTTGGCTACAAAATTCAATTTGACGGTTTTATGGTCAAATCTTTCTTCAAGTGTAAATTTTTGGCATTTTAAATATCAACATTGGCTAAATTTTTCAAATTTGATAGTTTTTATGTTAAACTTTGACATTTTAAATCATTTGTTTAATTTGACAGTTTATAGGTTTAATTTGTCGTTTTCAAGGTCACTTGTCCCAAGTTTGTAAAAATGCTTACTTTAAAAAATTTTAAACTTTAAAATCCACTGTTAATTTTTGGGTTAATTTGTCTTTTGAGATAATGTTTAATTTTGAGGTTATTTTTTTTTTGTTTTAAACGTATTACTGTCAAAATTTGACAGATTGTTGTATTTTTGATGCCATAGATGTCAAAATTGGCCAATTTTAAATTTTTACGTTGACTACGTATTTTTGGGACTTTCAATTTGACATTTTAAGGTTAAATTTGTAATTTTATGTCCTCTGTTGTTAAAATTTTACAGATTGTTTATTTTAGAAGCTCCAAATTTCAAAATTTTGCCTGGAAGTTTGTTTTTTAACGTTGGCTATAAAATATTAGTTTGATAGTTTTAGTGTCAAATTTTGACATTTTAAATATTAAAATATTGGCAAAATTTGTTTAATTGTTGTTTTTTTTTAAATGCTACTTTGACAGTTTTTTTGGTTTAATTTGACATATATAGTCAAAGCTTGACAGATTGATAGCTTTAAGTGTCTTTTTGACATCGACATTTGACCGTTTTGAGGTTATTTTTTTATTTTAGAATTCGTTGCTGTCACTTTGACAGATTGTTTATTTTTAATGCTATTAATGTCAAAATTTTAAATTTGACATTTTAGGTTAAACTTTTTAACTCAAACTATGACAGATTTTTTATTTTAGGTGCTTTAAATGTCAAAAAATTTCAACGTTGGCTACAACTTTGAAATTTTGACATTTTAAATATCAAAATATCGGCCACATTTTTTTATTTGACAGTTTCTAGTTTAAATTTATCGTTTTCAAGGTCAATATTGTTTAAGTTTGTCATTTTAAACTTTGACAGGTTAGATTCTGTATGCTAAAAATTTTAAAATTACGATCTTGCATTTAATAGTGGGTAAGATGTCAAAATTTGACAGATTGTACATTTTTAATTCTTTGACAACGTCCAAATTTGGGGATTTGCTTGGTAAAAACACAATTTATTTTGACATAAAACAAACTCAACTTTTATTTAAATGAGCTGTCAAAAATTCAAGCTTCTATAAAACAGTAATGCATTAAAAAATACTACCAAGATAATCAAATATGTCAAACTTTAAAAATGTCATTTTGACAGTTTTAAGGGTCAATTTTGTTTGACATTGTTTTGGATTATAAAATATAGTTTTATTCTTATCCATTTTCAGAGGTTGGAGTAACTTTAAAAGAACTCCTAAATGTACAAAAAGAATCATTAGCTATAGAAAAAGAACGGCTAGAACTGGAAAAACAAAAATTGGACTTCGAGAGACTCATTGGCACGCAACTTCTGGGCTTAATCCCGATGCTGAGCGGTATCCTCCAGAACGTCACCAAAAAAGAAGACCCCAAGAACGGAAAAAAACGCGCAGCCCCAGAAATCGGTTTCGATTATTTCAAACAGAACAAGTTCCTCAAAACAGTGATTGAAGAGGGGTTGAAAAAATACTCGGCAGAAAAAAATACTCCAGACGAGGAGTCCGACGTGGACTCAGAAGACGATAAATACGACGAAAATAGCCTCGACAGTGAAACAAAGTAACTTTTTAATGCTCTTTTTTTGAGATTTTTTAGTATTAACCTATTCTGAGTGATACCAGTGTGATTTTATGTAACATTCCATTAGAATGATCTCTTTATTTATTTTAGACATAGGTAATTTATTTTTGTTTTGTTTTTTTTTATATAATAAAAGAATATTCCCAAAATGTGATTTTCTTGAACTAAAACCTATATCTACGCCAAAGTTACTTAATGTACATTAAATTGGGAAAAGTGAGGTTAAAACCGTTTGACAGATGTCAGATTGGAAAAATTGCAATGTTGCCAAATTAATTCTCTTAATAAAACTCACCAATCGAATATAATAACTTTTATTTAACCTAGGAAGAGATACATGAACTTAAACTATATATTACAATTTAAGGACTATTTTCTATGTCTTAGCACATCAACTTAAACATACTTGCCACATTTCACCTTACAGTTATTTTTATCGACAAAATACATACATGACAACAATGTGCTTTATCTTTAAAAAAAAAACAACTTACAACTAATACGCGTTTTTTTTAATTTATGGTATTTCAATCAAGTCAAGAAAATAAATGATTTTTAATTCATACAAAAATACGTTATGTCAACTAAATTATTCTTTGTACTGAGTAGAAGGAAATAAAATGTTAATTTTATAGTAACTAAATACTGGAAAAACACCGATTTTTTGCTTTGTTATGATTGTGCTTTAAAAAATACGTTTTTATAAATTACAATACTTTTTGACACATGGCGATACTTTTAAGTCAACAATATGCCGAATGATACCAGTAGTGCGAGAATATGAGAAACCACAGAAAGTAGTAGATTTCATGTAACATTCCATTAGAATGATTTCTTTATTTATTTTAGACATAAGTAATTTATTTTTGTTTTTTTATATAATAAAAGAATATTCCCAAAAATGCGATTTTCTTGAAGTAAAACCTATGTATATCTACGCCGAAGTTACTTAATGTACATTAAATTGGGAAAAGTGAGGTTAAAACCGTTTGACAGTTGTCAGATTGGAAAAATTGCAATGTTGCCAAATTAATTCTCTTAATAAAACTCACCAATCGAATATAATAACTTTTATTTAACCTAGGAAGAGATACATGAACTTAAACTATATATTACAATTTAAGGACTATTTTCTATGTCTTAGCACATCAACTTAAACATACTTGCCAAATTTCACCTTACAGTTATTTTTATCGACAAAATACATACATGACAACAATGTGCTTTTTCTTTGAAAAAAAAACAACTTACAACTAATACGCGTTTTTTTAATTTATGGTATTTCAATCAAGTCAAGAAAATAAATGATTTTTAATTCATACAAAAATACGTTATGTCAAATAAATTATTCTTTGTACTGAGTAGAAGGAAATAAAATGTTAATTTTATAGTAACTAAATACTGGAAAAACATCGATTTTTTGCTTTTTGTGCTTTAAAAAATACGTTTTTTATAAATTACAATACTTTTTGACACATGGCGATATTTTTAAGTCAACAAAGTAACTTTTTAATTCTCTTTTTTTAAGATATTTTAGTATTAACCTATTCTGAGTGATACCAGTGTGATTTTATGCAACATTCCATTAGAATGATCTCTTTATTTATTTTAGACATAGGTAATTTATTTTTGTTTTGTTTTTTTATATAATAAAAGAATATTCCCAAAAATGCGATTTTCTTGAAGAAAAACCTATATTTACTTGATGTAGATTAAATTGGGAAAAGTGGGGTTAGAACCGTTTGACAGATGTCAGAATGGAAAAATTGCAGTGTTGCCAAATTAATTCTCTTAATAAAACTCACCAATCGAATATAATAACTTTTATTTAACCTAGGAAGAGATACATGAACTTAAACTATATATTACAATTTAAGGACTATTTTCTATGTCTTAGCACATCAACTTAAACATACTTGCCACATTTCACCTTACAGTTATTTTTATCGACAAAATACATACATGACAACAATGTGCTTTTTCTTTGAAAAAAAAAACAACTTACAACTAATACGCGTTTTTTTTATTTATGGTATTTCAATCAAGTCAAGAAAATAAATGATTTTTAATTCATACAAAAATACGTTATGTCAACTAAATTATTCTTTGTACTGAGTAGAAGGAAATAAAATGTTAATTTTATAGTAACTAAATACTGGAAAAACATCGATTTTTTGCTTTGTTATGATTGTGCTTTAAAAAATACGTTTTTATAAATTACAATACTTTTTGACACATGGCGATATTTTTAAGTCAACAATATGCCGAATGTTACAAAAATAAGGCCATGGAAACGTTTAAAAATATCGCTCTGCATCGCCCAATTTTTTTTATTGCATATCTGGCGGTGGTGGACTTCCAGACACTGTTTTTATATTCTTACTTTTTCTGGGCTGCTGTGTCTGAGAGGGAGGGCTGTAGGGGGTCCTGGTTGAAGAACTAAACCAACAAAATAAAAACACAGTAAAATATTGAACGAAACATAAAAACCACTACGCGAAAAAAACCAACAAAAAAGCCAAGCAATGTTTTTATTAGTGGGTAGTCTAAAACTATATTAATACTTACTAAGTGAGTTCCTTTATCCCAGGGGGTTAATTATGGGTTAAATCTAATGCCGCGGATACCTGTAAACCATTAAAAACCCAAAATATCTCAAAACTAACTCGAACGATCGAAAAAATGAATGACGCGCCGTGTATATGCAATGATGACGTGGCAGTGTGTTTGTGCGGTTGCCTACCTGTGCGACGACGGCGATTGGCCGGAGCTGGGCAGCGCCAACTTCGGCGAACGAATGCTTCTGCGCGGGCTGACCAATGAGGAGCGTTCTCTTCGACTTCGACTGTGTTTTTTTCGATTGTTTTTTGAGTTCATGCATTTTTTGACAGAGGACGATTTTAAGACAAGAAAGAGAGTTTTAGCTATACGAGTAACTTTTTAAAACCAAAAAATGTAATATTACAAATAAAAATACGCAAAAAAAGATAAAAAGGTGTACATTTAACGACAACACTAAATTATTAAACTACAAAATCGGACAAATCCACATATTCCAAAAAAATGTAAAAATGAATTTGTCGTTTTTTCCTAATACTTTATTTTCGTGAGAGTACTGACCTTGAGCCGGCAGTGATGGCGGGGACGCTGTAATGGCCGCCGTAGGAGTGGCGGTTCCTCGGGTTGGAGCCGGCCGTAATTCTTGGCACGTCCGAGCGACTTCTGGCTTTGTTCTCCCACTCCTTGTTAAAGTCCTCGGCCTCGTCCTCGTCGAGGTTGATGAAGTCCTCGCGTTCCTCTCTGTCGCCGGTGTGCATGTTCTGTTCTTTCTCGACGATGTGAGCCCGCTCGCCGATGTGGTGTCCGATCGCCATTTTTTTGGTGCCCGAGCGACTGTCCGTGACGGTTCTTTGCGTTTCTTTTATGCCGCCCGGGGCCACGCGGGTGCTCGACGTGGCCTTGTACACCTGAGGCCTGCCGTCCGGACCCGACGTCATACTGACCTAAAATTACCAGATTTTGTCCCGAAATTCGTCCAACATATTCTGTTAACATATCCACCCAAAATTTCAAGAAAATCGCTCCCTAAATAACGAAGCTACAATTTTGATAAATTGGCATTCAATTTTGATAAATTGGCATCATTTTGAGAAAATGGCATAACTTTGTTGGTTTTGATTTGTTTTGATGAAATTTCAAGGGTTTCAAGGGTTAACTATCTCTCTATCGCTCTTTGATGGTTAATAAATAAAATTTTAACAAAAAAAACTAACCACAACAGTTATGCAATGTTATTTCAAATTTTTAAAATTAACCCATATTCTTTGGTATACCCCCAAAATTTCAAGAAAATCGCTCCATAAATAACAAAGCTACTTTTTTGATAAATTGGCATTTAATTTTGATAAATTGGCATCATTTTAAGAAAATGGCATAACTTTGTTGATTTTGATAAAATTTCAAGGGTATACTAAGTATAAAATATCCACTTTATTGGATATTTTAATGGTGTACCCTCAAAATTTACAACTGATAAATTGGCATCATTTTGAGAAAAAGGCACATCTTGATTAGTTTTGGTGCGATTTTGATTAATAAATAACTATGTCATAATTTTCATAAATTGGCATCATTTTGAGAAAATGGCATAACTTTGTTGGTTTTGATGTGTTTTTGATGAAATTTCAAAGGTTAACTATAAAAAATTCGCATTTTTGATAAATTGGCATCATTTTGAGAAATGGTGCGATTTTGATGAATTTTCAAGGGTTAACTATAAAATCCGCTCTTTGATGGTTTTAATAAAATTTCAACAAAAAAAACTAACCACAACAGTTTATGTTATGTTATTTCAAATTTTTTAAATTAACCTATTTTCTTTGGTATACCCCCAAAATTTCAAGAAAATCGCTCCATAAATAAGAAATCTACTTATTTGATAAATTGGCATTTAATTTTGATAAATTGGCATCATTTTAAGAAAATGGCATAACTTTGTTGGTTTTGGTGTGAATTTGATAAAATTTCGAGGGTGTACTAAGTATAAAATATCCACTTTATTGGATATTTTAATGGTGTACCCTCAAAATTTACAACTGATAAATTGGCATCATAAAAGTCCACTCTATTCAATAGTTTTAATGAAATTTAAAAAATCTAACCACACTTGTTATTTCTGTAAACATGTTTAATTAAAATTGTCTTATTTTTTGGTACCTATACTCATCAAAATTTTAAGAAAATAACTCCATAAATAATAAAGTTACAATTTTAATAAATTGGCATAGAATTTTGATACATTGGCATAACTTGATGTTATGAAACTTTAATTAAGAAAAACTAACCACAACATAAACTGTTATTTCTGTTAACTTTTTTAAAATTAACCCATTTTTTGGTATAACCCCAAAATTTCAAGAAATTCGCTTCATGAAAAACAAAGCTACAATTTTAATATATTGGCATCATTTTGAGAAAAAGCATATATTGATTAGTTTTTGAGCGATTTTAATGAAATTTCAAGGGTAAACCATTAAAATTCGCTCTATTCGAAGTTTTAATGAAATTAAAAAAAAACTAACATGCAGTATGTTATATCTGTTGACTTTTTTAAAGTCAGCCTATTTTCTTAGGTGTGCCCTCAAAATTTCAAGAAAATCGCTTTAAAAATAACGAAGTTGCAGTTTTGATAAATTGGCATAGTTTATTTAAAATGGCATAACTTTATTAGTTTTGGTGCGATTTTAATGAAATTTTTTTGTTAAACTTAAAAAAATCCGATTTATTCTATGATTATTATGAAATTTAAAAAAACATAGTTTTTTTAAATTAGTTAATTTTCTTTAATATGCAAACAAAATTTCATAAATAACTAAGTTACAATTTTGATAAATTGGCATACAATTTTGATAAATTGGAACAATTTTCATAAATTGGCATACAATTTTGATAAATTGGCATAATTTTTTGAAAATGGCATAACTTTGTTAGTTTTAGTGCGATTTTATTGAAATTTCAAAAGTAATTAAAAAAAAACAACCAAAAAATAAAAACTTTTGGTTAATTTTGTTAAAAACTTTAAAATCTGCATATTTTTGGTTTACCCTCAAAATTTCAAGAAAATCGCTCCATAAACAACAAAGTTACAATTTTGATAAATTGGCATCATTTTGAAAAAATGGCATAACTTTGTTGGTTTTGGTGCGATTTTGATGAAATTTTCAGGGTATACCATAAAAAATATTTTCAAAGAAATGAAAAAAAAAGACTAACCACAGTGCTTGAGCTGCTAAAATGGGAGTTTCCATGGCCACCATGGGCCAAACCACCTCCCAAAGAATCCAAAGAACCGCCCATCAAGCGGTTGTAATTTGGCATCATTGGCATAGAGAATGGCATTAAAGTGTTGTGCATTGATCGGTGTGTCAAAGCACGATTATCGAATTCGTTAAATGGGGAGGCTGCCATCATTCCGAATGGGTCAGCAAAGAGAGAATTCATCATGTTGTTCATTTGACGCATAGTGCGCATGTGAGATCTGCAAAAAAGTACAAAATGTGCTTTATAACAAAAATTATGGTGTGATTCTGAAAACGATCAAATAATGTAGTAATAATGATAAAAACATGTTACATCACTATAAATTGGATAGAAAAAATAACTTTATTAGCTATTTAAAGAACAATTTTTTTGATTTAAGGCATAGTTTCTAATGTACAGGGGTTTTTAAAAAGTAAACAAATTGGTGCATTTTTCCAAAAACCGTTTTTACTGCATTAATGTTTATGCGAATTTTATCAAATTTTGAGAGAAATCTAAAAAAAAATGCTCTTTTCGTTAAGCATAACAGACTTTAATAAAAAAACACCCTAAAACAAAAATAATGACTCATTAATTACGTTGTAAACAATTATGTAATATTAACAAATTATGATGAAACCTAGAGAAAAACGTTAAATAATTAAAAATAACAAGATTGTTACGTAAAATATCTTAATTTTTACTTATTTGCTCCAGTTTTTAAGAAAACAGCATGGCGGATTAATAAACACCAACTTTGTCGGTATCAACCACAAATCCGTTGAAAACAATCACTTTTACTCACCCAAATATCGGATCGTCTTCCATATCACCCATCAACGAACCGAACAACGACATTTTCGTTAATAAATCGCAAATAATCGTCAATTAAACTATCACAAACACCCTTTTTTCTTCTGAGAGCTTTTGACAGATCGCAATTTGACAGATAACAAGCTCAATAGATGTCGTGTCTAAAGTAACGACGACTAATCGGATTAATTAACAGTTTTAAGCAATGTTTATAATATAATGATCTAAAAATTAAAATAAAATACGGTTTATTATGTGATTATATGGTTTTTGCATAATATTAATAGGTTTTATAGCATACAAAATTAAATTGATAAAACAGTGACATCTCTTAAACAAAATTAAAAGCTGTGTGGCCAAAGAAACGAAACTAAAAGTGATAAAACACCATAATTGCATGTTTTTATTGATTTATTTTTCATAATAATATTTAATATAATAATTATTTATATGCTTGTATTGATAAAATGTTGTATTTAAGTATATTTTGTTGATCAAAACATATATATGTTTTGATGACGTCTCATTACAGATCCCTGTTGTACCATTATTTATATTGCTGTCATATGACAGCTCAGATGTGTTTTTAATTTTCTTGGTGTTACTTAACGTTTTTCTTGGGGAAATATTTTCGGTTTTCGTAATTTTTGTGTTGTATATGAGTCGTGCAAGTTTGGGGGTTGCAAAAGTGAGGTTAGTGTAATTTGTTGACGTGTATAAGGACTGTCAAAAAATTGGCCACGTTGGAGGATTTCGGCGTTAATTTTAAGAATTTTTAAGAAATAAATGTTCATAGAAGTGTCTTAAAAAGGTTCGTTTATGTGAATAATTTATTATATTGAAAGATTTATAGGTTTTATTAAGTAAAAGCGGAGATTTATGTAATGTTGTTTTATAGGTCTTAAAATGAAAGTGAAAGACCTGGAAAGGACTGCAAATGTTGCCTGGTCGCCTAAAAGTCAGTACCCTATATATTTGGCTGCTGGTACAGCTGCTCAGCAGTTGGACGCTAGTTTTAACACAAATGCTGCCTTAGAAATATACTCGTTGAACTTATCAGAACCAGGGCCTGATTTACAGCTAATTTCAAGCGCTTCTAGTGAACATAGATTCCACAAATTAATATGGAGTGAGCAAAACAATGGTACAATTGTCGGTGGATGTGATGGAGGGTTAATAAAAATATACTCGTCTTCGAAGTTGCTAAAAAATGAGGAAGCTCTTATCGGCAAAACTGAAAAACATTCGGGCCCTGTACATGCCTTGGATTTCAACCCATTCCAAGCAAACTTGTTTGCTACTGGAGCAGCCGAATCCGAGATATTTATATGGGATTTAAACAACACTGCCTCCCCTATGTCCCCAGGGGTGAAATCTCAGCCTTTGGAGGATGTTTTATCGATTTCGTGGAATAAACAGGTTCAGCACATATTAGCTTCGACGTTTGCCTCCAAATGTGTCATATGGGATTTGAGAAAAAACGAGCCCATTATTAAATTGACCGATACGGTTTCGAGAATTAGGTGGAAAGTTGTGGCTTGGCATCCCGAGGTTGCCACACAGCTATGTCTTGCTTCAGGTGAGAAAATTTTATTTAAATGTTAAATTTAAGGTTAACCAATCACATTTTACAGTTAAATGGCGTCACAATATGGCGACTGACGTTTTAATTGTCAAATGTCATTTTTGGTTTTCAAGGTCTTTTCTGTCAAAAGAAATGCTAAAATTTAAAAATCGTTCATTTTGTTTGACAAAAATAAATTTTTTATGTAAAAAAGTGCTACTCTATCATGGAATCGTTCATTAGTATTTTCTTCATTAAAAATATTAAAAACTCAAGTAGTTTTTAGGTTATGAAATTTTTAAAAGTAATTTTATTTAAATGTAATAAAAGATAAAAAACAATATAGGTACGCTAAAGAAGTATCGCTAGTAGCGCCACCACTCGGCTGTTATCATAGTAACAAAAGTACAACTTTTAATTATCAGCTGTCAAACGCTTACGTTACAAAGTTTTAGGGTATACTAAACAAAACACGCTCTTTTTAATGCACTTCATTTAATTAACAAAGTTGAGTTTTTTTTTAAATTGGCGCCCAACTTGTTTTAAATCTTCTGTGTTTTTCACAATTTTTATGCGATTTTTATGAAAATTTCAGGGTATACTAAACAAAACACGCCCTTTTTAATGCACTTACTCAATTTTCATTTAATTAACCAAGTTGAGTTTTTTTTAAATTGGCGCCCAACTTTTTTTAAATCTTCTGTGTTTTTCACAATTTTTATGCGATTTTTATGAAAATTTCAGGGTATACTAAACAAAACACGCCCTTTTTTAATGCACTTACTCAATTTTCATTTAATTAACAAAGTTGAGTTTTTTTTTAAATTGGCGCCCAACTTTTTTTAAATCGTCTGTGTTTTTCACAATTTTGATGCGATTTTGATAAAAGTTTTATGGTATACTAAACAAAACACTCTTTTTAATGTATTTACAAAATTTTTAATAATCAGCTGTCAAACGCTTACGTTACAAACGAGTGTTTGAAAAAAAAACGTGGCTCGATTTGTTGTGTTGTTGAGTGTATTTCGAGAGGAAATCCTGGGTTGAGTTTTTACCGGTTTTCCAATAAACAGTGTTAATTTGAATGAAGAAATAAATTGCACACAGTCTGTAAATATAAAATGTACCTATTAGATACCATAAATACACATTTTAGTAGTGATTAACGTGAAAAGTGTAAACATTTCAATTCAGTAAAAATCGTCAAACAAATAAATAAGTCGTCTAAATTTAAACAGCATTTAGCATTATTAAAAGCGTTGATTTAGAAAGTCTTCAACTCAACGGTAAAATACCATTATATTATGTATTATATAATATTATGTTGCCATGAATATTTTGTTGTTTATAATACAGTTGTCGACGGTTTTTAGAGAATTCAAATATAAAAATGGTTGATTTTAAGGTTATGTTTGTGCAAAAATTATTTTTTACTAATTTGTTAAAAATGCCCAAACTTAAATATAAATTATATTAGGTAAAGTTATCATTAGTTAATTCTGCACCAACAAATGTACTGGATCCTTTGGCAAAACATGAAAATGCAACGATTTAGTTCTTGAATTTTATTTACAATTAAAAACACAATAATTCACCATGACCCTTTAGATAAAATACACACACTAACGTAACTATATAAGCATTTAAGCGTTGAGTTTCTTAATCAATGGTATAAAGAATAATCAATCGAAATCGAGTACTAAACCAGTTTTTTAGTTTTTTTTTTTAAACCAGTTTGGTTTTTATCGTAGTAAAAACCCTGGCCAATCAAAATTCAGGTTCTAATTGACGTCACAATATGGCGGATTGATATTTTAAGTGCTGAAGTTTCATTTTTTATTAAATAAAACTGTAGTATTTTTTATTTTAAAAATTCACTTAATTCTTTTTTAATTGTATGTCTTATTTTTGCCCAAAAAACAAAAATTGACACTTTTGGTACAAAAAGAAACTCGAAAAATTCAAATATCTTTTAGAGGAGGATCATTCGCCAATCATCCAACTGTGGGACCTCAGGTTCGCAACCTCCCCGCTAAAAACCCTAGAAAATCACCAAAGAGGCGTCCTCTCTGTGACCTGGTGCAAAGACGACCCTGACCTTTTGGTATCTTGCGGCAAGGATAACCGTATTTTGTGCTGGAACCCGAACTCCAACCAGCAGAACGGAGAAATTTTGTCGGAAATCGCCAACACCAATCAGTGGACGTTCGACATTTCCTGGTGCCCCAGAAACCCTGCATTACTGGCCTGTCCCAATTTCGACGGACACGTGTCGATATATTCCTTGATGGGGGGTATGAGAGAACAAAAAAAATTACATAAAGCAATTGTAAATAATGTTTTTTTTAAAGGTAAAACACAGCAAATCCAAACAACAAACAAAATAGCCGATTCTTTCCCTGGTATGGAAGGTTACATTCAAGCCCCGGTATCTCAAACTGTGGCTGTAGTTAGCAACGACTTATCTAAACCACCAAAGTGGCTCAAGAAACCTTGTGGAGCTTCATTTGGGGTAAATATACCTATAAAACAAAACAAAAACCTTTGTATATAACAAAGATGAGATTTTTTTAAAATGGCGCCCAACTTTTTTAAATCATGTTTTCCACAATTTTGATGCGATTTTCATGGAAGTTTCAGGGTATACTAAACAAAACACTCTCTTTTTAATGCACTTACTCAATTTTCATTTAATTAACAAAGTTGAGTTTTTTAAATTGGCGCCCAACTTTTTTAATCGTCTGTGTTTTTCACAATTTTGATGAAAGTTTCAGGGTATACTAAAAAAACACGCTCTTTTTCAAGCACTCACTCAATTTTCATTAAATTAACAAAGTTGAGTTTTTTTAAATTGGCGCCCAACTTTATTAAATCATCTATGTTAATTACAATTTTTATGCGATTTTGATGAAAGTTTCAGGGTATACTAAAAAGAACACGCTCTTTTTAATGCACTCACTTAATTTTCATTTAAATAACAAAGTTGAGTTTTTTTAAATTGGCGCCCAACTTTTTTTAAATCGTCCATGGTGATCACAATTTTTATGCGATTTTGATGAAAGTTTCAGGGTATATTAAACAAAACACGCTCTTTTTAATGCACTTACTTAATTTTCATTTAAATAATAAAGTTGAGTTTTTTTAAATTGGCGCCCAACTTTTTTTAAATCGTCTAATTTTCACAATGTTTTTGCGATTTTCATGGAAGTTTCAGGGTATACTAAACAAAACACGCTCTTCTTAATGCACTTACTCAATTTTCATTTAATTAACAAAGTTGAGTTTTTTTTTAAATTGGCGCCCACCTTTTCGTCTGTGTTTTTCACAATTTATGCGATTTTTATGAAATTTTGAGGGTATACTAAACAAATGCACTTACTCAATTTTCAAAAAACGTGACGTTCCAAGACAATAATTATGTTTTTTTAGTTTGGGGGCAAGCTCATAACATTCGAGCACGACAAAAACCTTATTTTAAATGCGCAACAAAATCTACAACCAGGGCAGCAAACCCCAAAAATATCTAGAAGTGTGCAAATAAGCCAGGTCATCACCGAGGCAGATTTTGTTAAGAAATCTGTCGAACTGGAGAAAGCGGTGGAATACGGAAATTTTACCGGTAAAAACCCTCGAACTACATTGTGTACCGACTCTACAGTTAGTATTTTTAGAGTATTGTTCCGGTAAAGCCGATTCAATATCCGATCAGCACCAAAAGTACGTTTGGCACTTCCTGAGGGCTCAGTTCGAACCCAACTCCCGCGCAGAGCTTTTGAATTTGCTTGGGTACAAAATAGAGGACATCAACAACACCCTGAACCTTGCGGTTGGTAAGACTGCCAATTCGGTGGACCAACTTTCCGACGATTTCGCCAGGGTTCGTATAATAAAGGGTGCGCCTCAAGGCTCCGCAACGTGACCCTTCGTGTTTTAGCTCGATGATCTCGGCGGAGATCCGTTCAACGACATAGCCCGGCAAAATAAGAAGAGGCTGAGCAATTTCACCATCGAAACTGGAAATGACGACGACGGCCTCATAACTCAAGCCCTGCTATTGAACAACGTCGAAGCAGCTGTAGAACTGTGTTTGAAGTCTAAAAGATTCGCCGACGCCTTGATAATAGCCACCACGGGTACATAAAACCGCACGGGGTGAAAACAAAATCATTACAATTGTTTTTATGCAGGAGGTGCAGAATTGCTGGCCAAAACTCAGCACGAATACCTCGCACAAAGCGGTGGGTACATATCCGAGTTGATATCGGCCATGGTCTCCGAAGATTGGGCTTCCATAGTAAAAAACTGCGACATAAACTCGTGGAAGGAAGCCCTGGCTGCAGCCCTAACCCACTCCAACGACGAGGACTTAGTAAAACTATGCGGTAAGTGTTAAACTTTATTATTATCAATATCAATACATATCTAACCACATTTCAATGAGAGGTTTATATTGGTGCTCCTCCAAAATTGGGCTTCCTTTGGGGTTTTCAGTGATTATGGTGCCCTTTATAGGGCCCTCTGTGAAGTTGAAGAACTCGCAGAACGGTTTTGACGTTGGTTTCGGTAGTTGTGGGTTTAGGTGTTCAGGGATTATAAAAATCGTATCTTTATGAACTTTTGATATATCTCCGGTGCTTAATATATCCTTCGTGGATGTTTTGAGAGCAAAATGTTCGACCCCAAACAAGGCCAAGATTGATTTTTGAAGGCTTTCCATTGTTATAGGAGTCCCAGCTACTTCCAGAAGTATCATACCTCTCTTTGACTGAGTATATTTGGGTTGCAAGTCCACCAACTCCAAGTTGGCCCATTTGGTGTTTGGAAATTCTATGTGTGCCTCTTTTTTGGTTATATACAAGTCCATTTTGTAGTCCTTCAACTTTTCCTCGCTCTCCATTATCACAACATCGTCGTCTTCCTTGAAAGTCACATCCCTGAAACTTGCCTTGATGGTACCCTCAATCAAAACAGCAAAATCTTTGGTAATGCGTTCTATATCTCCATGGGCTTTATAGTAAACCTTGATGGAGTCGGTGGGCACCAAGTGAGCCTTTTTTCGTAACTTTTGAACCCGGTTTATGACCTCCCTAGCTACACCTTCATCTTGCAGGTTGTCATCCATTAAAACGTCCAGCAAAACCAGACATTCACCCGAACCATTCAGCAAGTACTTATCCTGTTGATCATTAGTTGATTCGTAATGTAAAATTACGTCATTCAGTTCTATGTTGTACCCCGATACGTCCACAGAACCTTCCTGCTGTAGAATCTCGAGTTGTGCCTCTGTTAAATTCAAAATTCCCTCCGCTATTACCTTCAGATAACTCTTCAGTTTATCACCAAGGGTTTTGTAGTTCGGCTTCGCCCTGAGTGCTATGTTGAATCGCGACTTGTCGTTTGACGTGACAAGATTTTTTATATTCAATTCTGCGAGAATATACTCCTTCAAGTCTGTAATGTTCTGTAGGAACGATTGGTCGCGATGCAATACTATTATCTCCGGTAGGGGGTGTTTGTTGGGTATTTGTTTTTTCTCTCTGATGGCTCTGGCCAAGTCCAGAACTACTTGTAGGTTATCGACGGCATTCTCAATGTTTTTATCTATGAAGTTTTCGTTCAACTTTGGCAACATTATGAAGTGCACGGAATCGTGCGGTGAGGTCGTGAAGTGTTTCATTTTTTGGTACATGTACTCGGATAAAAACGGCGTGAAGGGCGCCATAATCAGCACTAGAGCGTACAAAACACCGAACAAATTTTTGAGGGCGTTTTTGCAATCTATCGTCGAGGTTTCGCCTTTGAATCGCTTTCTGTTGAGACGTACGTACAGATTCGTCAGGTCTTCGATGAATTTGGTCAGCTTGGGTACAACGTTGTAGAGATGGTACGCGGTCATTTCTTTGTAGACGTAGTCGAGAAACGATTGGGTGTAACTGAGGATCCACGAGTCCATTTTGTTGTCAGTGGTGAGATCTATGTCTTTGTAGTGAAAATCTCTCGTGTTTTTGAGCATGTATCCCTCCATATTCTGCAGGAGGAATCTGAACGCGTTGTACCATGGCAGTAGAACGTCTTTGACCACTTCCCGTACACCATCTTCTTTGAATTTGAGATTCTCCGCTCTGACGACAGGCGAGTTTATGAGGTAGAGCCGTAACGCATCGGCTCCGTATGATTCTATGATGTCCATGGGGTCGGGGTAGTTTTTTTTGCGTTTGGACATCTTCTGGCCGTCGCTCGCTAACACTAGACCATTGGCGATTACGTTTTTGTACGGTACTTCGCCGAATAGAGCTGTGGATATGACGAGGAGGGTGTAGAACCAACCCCTGGTCTGATCTATGCCTTCTGCTATGAAATCAGCGGGGAATTTCTGTTTAAATGTGTGTTTGTTTTCGAAAGGGTAGTGGTTTTGCGCGTACGGCATGCATCCCGACTCGAACCAACAGTCAAAGACTTCCCTTATACGTCTTAGAGGTGCCCCGTTGGGATTTGAGCTCGGTATGGTTAGATCATCGATGTTTTCTCGGTGCAGATCCGAGATCTTTTCACCCGTCAGGGATTGCAACTCTTCTATGCTGCCTACGCAGACTATTTCGTCGTCGTTTTTCCATATGGGGATTGGCGTGCCCCAGTATCTGTTACGCGATATGGCCCAATCGCGGGCGTCTCTCAACCAATTGGTGAAACGTTTCTTCTTCACGAAATCCGGCACGAACTCCGCACTTTGAACCGCATCAAGTAGCTTGTCTTTGATAGCTTCGACGTTCAAAAACCACGACGGTACGGCCCTGTAAATCAACGGGGTGTCGCTCCTCCAGCAGAAAGGATAGCTGTGATTGACTCTCGACTCTTTAACAACCCTGCCTCTCTCCCGAAGGTATCTTACGACGTGTCTGTCGGAGTCTTTAACGTGCAGCCCTAGGAAATCTTCCACCGGGGTCGTGAAGCATCCGGAGGCGTCCACGGGGCAAACGGCGCCCTGATTGGCCGTTATGATGTTGTTTTTCAGGCACACCCTGTAGTCGTCTTCGCCGAAGTAAGGCGCCTGATGGACCACGCCCGTACCGGTGGTGTTGGTGACGTAATCGTCCGCGAGGATTTTGAAGCAGTGCGTTAAGTGTTTGTAGTAGGGGAACGGTGGGTCGTAGGTCAATCCCTCCAGATCAATTCCTAAAAATAAACGACTATAATAAGAATGTAAACTTGTTATTAACTTTACCTAGGAACTTCTCCAATACTTCGTAATCATCATCTTCGAAAACCGTCCCGATCCTCTCCTCGAGCATTATATAAACCCTTTCGGTGCTCACTTGTTTAACTCTCGCGTAAATCAAATGCATATTGACGCACGCCGCCAAGTTGCTGGGTAACGTCCACGGCGTCGTGGTCCATATCAACAGCGCCGCCCCCTGGCGGTCGTCCGTCAAAGGCAAAGAAACCACCACGGCGGCATCCTGCGTTTCCCTGTAGTTCTGCGACGCCTCAAAGTTCGACAGAGGCGTACCGCAAGCCGTCGAGTAGGGCATCACTTTGTTCCCCTCGTAGATCAGGCCTTTCCGGTAGAGTTCCTTGAACGTCCACCATACGGTCTCCATGTACCACGAGTACATCGTTTTGTAGTCGTTGTCGAAGTCTACAAAAGGTTTTAAGATCATCAAAACAAACATAGTGTGCTTCCGCGTGGCTACCCGGCACTGTCGAGGCCAAAAGACCTTGAAAACAAAGACCAGTTCTCGCTAAAAGACTTACCAATCCATCTGCCGATTCTGTGCACGACATCCTTCCATTCCTTCGAGTATCTGGTTACTATCTTTCTGCATTCGTTGTTGTAGGCCTTGATGCCGATTTTGTCGACGTCCTTCGGCGATTTTATGCCCAAAAGTTGATCGATTTCGAATTCCACCGGTAGACCGTGGCAGTCCCAGCCGAATCGCCTTTCCACGTGGTAACCGCTTTGGTGGGCGAATCTGGTGACCACGTCTTTAACCGTGCCGGCGAGGATGTGGCCGTAATGCGGCAACCCTGTAGCGAACGGTGGGCCGTCGTAGAAAGTGAATCTAAAATATGATGATGCAAGAGTTGTTTTCTTTAAAAAAATCAATAACGTGTATTTACCTCGCTTTTTCCTTTGATTGTACTAAAGACCTCTCGAAAGCTTTGACTTGCTTCCAGTAGTCCAAAATCTCGGCTTCCTCTAGAGGAAAGTCGATTTTTTCCGGAGCTCTTTGTATAACTTTATCATTCAACGAATCTTCCATGATGTCGACTCGCCCGTTTAAACGTCATATAATGTTTGACAATATTACGCAACATTACGGTGTACCATGAAAGTCTTCATATACGGGGTGTATCGAAAATTGCAATTTTGCAGAGCAAATGGGTAACAGATTGGAACAAGAATCTCTTCCGAATGAGGCTCAGCTGTGCTACATTTGCGCCGGTAGTTTCGAAAAGTTGGTTTCCTCGTGGACGGAAGGTGGCAAACAGAGCACGCAAGAACTTCAAGATCTGGTGGAACTCGTGACGTTTCTACAAAAAGCAGTGGAAAGACAGGGTCGAAAGGTTAAGGTGTCAGGTGGTTTGGCTGATCTTTTGTCGAGATACGCCTCACTGCTGGCCTCTCAAGGCGAACTGGATACCGCAGTGGCTTACCTGGGAACATCAACAGATGAAAAAGTAAGTTTATTCAAAAAAAAAAAATAATAAAAAAAAAAAAAAAATTCTCAGATTTCCAACTTACGGGACCGCTTGTACGTGAGCCTGGGTAAGAAACCAGTATTCGCTCACGATGTGCGTCAACAGCAAAATCGTCGCGGTAGCTCGCTGCGCACTTCGTTCACCAACAATTCCGCGTCGTACGGTGCCCCGGTCATGGCCAACCACTTCAACAGTCCCGCGCCTGTGCCCAATCAATTTAACCCTACCGCGCAGCAGCAGCAGCAGACCTTTAACACAGGCTTGCCAAGTGTCCCGCCTAGCCTAAATCAACCGTGGCAACCTGCCGCAATGCAGCCACCTATCGGCAGTTTTCCCAATCAAAGCAGGCCGTTTTCGCCGGCTCCCGTGGCGCCACCTAGGCCTCCGAGTGTCAATAGCGCGCAAGGTGAGTACTCAGAACAAAAATTATTATATGATTTTTTATTTTTTTCCATGTCAAAATGTACTTGATAAACTGTGAAAAAAGAAATAGGATCTTAAAATACAATGTTTCAAAAATTGTATTTTTAGGTTCTACGTCAAGCGGTCTTCCTTCGAAAAAATACATATTAGACCCTTCGGTGACCTCGAACCAATACGGCAACGCGTCGTACGCGCCGTTGCCACCTCAACAGCAACAGCAGCAATACCAAAACAACTTCAACAACGCCCCGTTCGCCCCTCAAAACAACCACATGCCCCCCACTCAAATCTTGAACCCTGCGGCGCCATCTTACGGCGTAGGCGGCGACATGCAGGCTCCGCCCATCGATGCTGCGCAGATGGCCGGCGCGCACAATTACCAGGCCAACGCCCCGCCCGGCTGGAACGATCCGCCAATCATAGCGAGGCAGAAAGCGCAGGTACGTTGATTTTATTCTCGCCGAAAGGTTAATACGGTGTATTGTTGAATTTTCAAGTACATCGGTGGCGGTAACGATGATATTATCATGTCGGCATTTCATGCTGGGACTAGATTATGGAGAAAGGTAGTTTTGAGAGTGTTAGGTTTTTTTTTACCTAGTTTGAAGGTTTTTTGTGTTAATTTCAGCAGTTACGTGGTCAGTAGTGTGGTCCATATTTTGAGAAATTTTGAATTTTTTTGCTCTCAGGTGTTCAAAGGGTTCGAAATAAATAAAAAAAAAATATTTTCCAAGTTTCAAGTCCCTAACTTAATATTAACCCGTGCCGCATTGCAGTTTAAGTTTCCTATGTAAATAACATGGGATTTTCAGCATTGAATAATTAATTATTTATTCCGGCCAAAGCAACTGTCAAAAAAAATTGAAACCTGGCAAAATTGAACCTTATAATAGTGGCTATTTCTCAGAATTTTAACAGATTTTAAGCTATTATAATTTTAAAGTTTTAGCTACATGATTTTCTTAAATTTAATAAAAATCATATGGATGAAACTCTAACAATATCATTGCTAAAAATCCGTTAAAATTCTAACGAATAGCTACTATCATAAGGTTAAATTCTGACAAGTTTCAAATTTTTTGAACAGTTACTTTGGCCGGAATAAATAATTAAATATTCAATGCTGAAGACACCATGTTATTTACATAGGAAACATAAACTGCAATGCGGCACGGGTTAATATTATGTTAGGAACTTGAAACTTGGAAAATATATTTTTTTATTTATTTCGAACCCTTTGAACCCCTGAGAGCAAAAAAATCAAAATTTCTTAAAAAATGGACCACCCTAGTGGTCAGAGCTGGGAGTATCTAAAAAAGATACTTGAAAGTATCTTAGATACTTTCATATAGTATCTTAGATACTTTCTAAACTAAACTAAAGATACTTTTAACTCAAAGTTACCAGATGCAACTAAGTTATTTTGTTTAAAGTATCTTAGAAAAGTAACTAGATACTTTTCAGAAGTAACTTTCCCAGCTCTGAACGTGATTTATATTACATTGTATAAACCTTTTAAACTTTTTTCCAGCCGAAATCGGACCTAGGCTCCTCCGAACCCATAACCCACCCCATATTCGGTACAGCCCCCTCTCAACCCCTCCCCACGTCGAACAACGGTTACGGCGACTTCGCTCCCCCACCCTCCATGATGTCCCCTCCCCCCAACACCCCCTACAACCCCGCGCAAGCGTTCCAACCCCCTCGGGCCGAAACAAACGCGTATCAGCCCCCTCAATCGTTCAACCCCGGTCAGTTTCAACAGAACGCCGTTCAGCTGATGGGTCGCAATGTCGGCGCCTGCGCCACGCCCGAACCGCCCGCTCCGGTGCAAAAAGCGCCCATTCCGGAGGAGCACATCCACATGCAGACCGTTTTCGATGAGTTGAGGTCCAGGTGTTCCTGCTCCTCGAATAATGCGGTGAGTTTTGTTACGAGACGCCCTGTTTTACTAGGTACCTTGTTTTCTACATAAAATGGGTTTTCAGCAAACTAAGAGGAAATTGGAGGATGTCGGTCGTAAATTGGAGGTCTTGTACGACTTGTTGAGGGAAAATAAGGTAATTCGGTGAAAAAATCATTTAAATCGGTCTATAAATAACGAAGTTACAAGTTTAACATTTTGGCGCCCAATTTACGAAAATCGCTACCGGTACGGTATATTTTCGTCAATTTTGATGGAATTTTTTTGAAATTTTCTGGGTATACTATAGAAAACACGACGATTTTATAAATCACTACAGATTTTAAAAAAATACAATACAATGAAACATTTTTTCAGCTCTGTGCAACGTTTTTTTAAACCGCTATAACTTCGTTATTCTTAACCCGATTTTGATGAAATTTTTATGGTACAAAAACTTTTTATTTTAGTTGTCTCCCAACACTCTAAACTCACTCCACCAGTTGGTACAACTGGTCCAAGATGGGAACTACACTGGAGGGCTGGCTCTGCATACTCAGCTCGTATCAGGTCCGGAATTCGCCAAAATTGCCGCGTTTATGCCCGGATTAAAAGTTCTGCTGCAGTGTGCTTTAACTTTGCAAGTTTACTTGCGGTAGAATTTGCCTAAATTAATTCAGAGCTTTTATAATAATTATTATGGTATATCGTGACGTCATTTGGTTTACCTTTTTTGTTTAACGTTTTTAAAATGATTTATTTTTGTAATAATCATGTATTATAGTACTAATATATATAAATTTAAATTTAAGCGAAAATATATTGGCATGTTTATTATTTCTATTATATAATGTATATGAAAGGTGCTTTTCATAATAAATTTTATTAAAAATCACTTTTTGGACTTTTTTCTTGAAAAGGTTAGGGTGGAATTTTGGGAAGGGATAAATAAAAAATAAAAGTAATTTTGTGCTGTTTTATTATATTTTAACTACATAAGCAAGAGAAAAAGCTTGTGAATATTATATTTGAGTTTCAAATGTTAACAAATCCATGTTTCAATAAACACCACCATGAAGTTATGCAGTAACGTCAAATTTTGAAACTATGCAACCCTTTTAACCTCTAAAGCATAGAATTCTAAAATAAAAGTACACAAAAACAACTAATACTAAAATAATAAAACTAATTGATAAATAATCGGTTATTTTAAATTTTGCGTTGACCCTATGCTAGTTATTTGCAGAGAGGACAGTAATGCATCGTTCAATGTCCAAAATTTTACCTAGAAACTGTTTATCATTGAATAACTTCCCTGTATTTTGAATAATTTCTAGCAATTTATCTTCCTCGAGGTTCAGTTGGTCATTGCAAATGGTGACTTTGTCTTTGAGTTCCTGGTTGATCTGAAAGAGGCAAAAATTAGAACCTTGTGGTACACAATGAGATAAATGATAAACATAATAATAATTTTGTTATATATATATGAAATTTGGTAAGGGCGTTTAAAGAAGCGTCTTTTCTCTTATGCACCTGTAAAATTTCATCAAAATCTCACAAAAACTGTAGAAGTTACAGCCACTTTAAAACAGCCCCATAATGGACTTCAAAATTTAACTTTGTTATTTATAGAGCAATTTTAACGATTTTTTTTGCAAATTGCTATAAAAGATGCGTTGGTTTTAAAAATGTAAACAGTTTTTTTCTATCTTTAAAATCCAACAAAACTAAAAACTTAACTTGGATGTTTTATTATATGGGTGGTATATAATAGGGGCATTAAAAAAAGCGTGTTTTCTTTTGTAAACATTCAAAATTTTATCAACATTGCACCAAAACTGTAGTTGTTACAGCCATTTTAAAACAGCCCTATAATGGACTTCAAAATGTAATAATTTAACTTTGTTATTTATAAAGCAATTTTAACGATTTTTTTTGCAAATTGCTTTTCAACTTTCTTACCTCTGGTGTTAAAAACGATGAAAAGTTCATTTTTACGCGTTGTTTTCCCATATCCTGATAAAAAATGGTGAATTCGTCAGATCCTTCTTTAACTTTAAAATATAAACCTGCTATTAGGTGACCCTTTTGATCTCTACTTAATAAGGATTTAAAATTATAGACAATATTCCTTCTGTCTGTTACGTCGACAGCTGTTATATAGGGCCTTTCCACGTAAATTAGTCCTGTAAATATGTCGATTTGAGAGCCTTTTGTAGTCCTTTCATTCCACTCTACAAATCTATCACTGTATGGTGATATTTGATAGTTGTATTCCTTCCTGATATTGTTCTCTTCAGATTGTATAAACCATCCTAAATAGAATGAACCAATTAGTATATTTAAAGAGTTAAAAAAAGTGTAGCATTACCTGTATTAGGAAAAGCCTTGTCATACATCACAGTGACAACTCTGGCAACGTGGTAACCCGGGTCGCACAGTAAAACACCCTTTCTTCCATTGATGTCAAACTTAAGGCAAACTAATACATGCTCCTTTTCTATAGAGCTTGAAGCTGTGTCCAATCTCGAAGAATACTCGTAAATGCTCTCAATATTCTCCTCGCATGAAACAACACATAAAAATTTTGCCAACTCAGGGTACAAATTTTCTAATTTTTGCAGTCTAAACCATAACTCGAAAGCCAATCCAACGCAAGAGTAATTTTGTGGGGTAATTTTAGGTGAATAGCATTGATAAAAATCCATAACGTTTTTTATAGGGTTTTCTTTGTATGCTTCATAGAAAGTCAGGAAGTTGCCCACGGTGTTGTAGTTTTGTTCTTCTAGAACTCTTTGAAGTTGCAGCTCTATTTTTGTGGCCATCTCTTGGAATTCGCTCACAGATCCCAATTTGTAATACCTAAATAAAAAAGTATTTTTTTAAATCTAGTTTTGAAGAGCGTACTTTTTATAGTACACCTTCAAAATTTCATAAAAATCGCACCAAAACTGTAGAAGTTACAGCCATTTTAAAACAGCCCTATATATAGGACTTCAAAATGTAAAAATTTAACTTTGTTATTTATAGAGCAATTTTAACGATTTTTTTTTTGAAAATTACTATAAAAGATGCGTTGATTTTAAAAATATAAACAGTTTTTTCTATCTTTAAAATTCAACAAAACACTTAGCTTTTATGTTTTACAATATGGGTAGTATATAGTAGGGGCATTAAAAAAAGCGTGTTTTCTTTGGTAAACCTGTAAAATTTTATCAAAATTGCTTCAAAACTGTAGAAGTTACAGCCATTTTAAAACAGCCCTATAATGGGCTTTAAAATGTAAAAAATGTAACTTCGTTATTAACAGTGCAATTTTAACAATAAGTTATGTAATTTACTTGAAATTTAAAAAAAAAATAAAAAAGGCCACCTAACTCTTAGAATTTGTAATTAAGGTAAAATTTAGCAAGTATATTAAAAATAGCATATTTTTTTAATAAACCTTCAAAATTTCATTAAAATTTAACAAAAATTGTAGAAGTTACAGCCATTTTAAAATAGCCCTATAATTAGGGCTTCAATATGTAAAAAACGAAACTTTAACAATTTTTTTGTACTTTAGTTAACAATCTATCTATTTTAAAAACAATTAATGACTTACTTCGTTTTTTCATCGGACCACCTAGGCAAGGGTAGCGGATGATCCAGAGGCCAAGGGCCCTGTCGCTGCGTCCTCTCTATGAGCTCCCCTACATCGCCGTAATTTTCAGCGGGGCCCCCTCTTTTGCGGGGCCCTTTTTTGGGCCCTAGGACGGACCTTTTCTTAGCGACACGATTACTTGAAGTATCGAGTCAACTGGGCCATTCGCAGCCCCAACGGCCGACGGTGGGGCTGCACAGCTCCTCCTCGGGGCTGAGGAAAATCGCGAACGGCTGCAGGCCCGAAGCCCTAGACTTGTGCACGGCGGCATGATCCGTGGCTGCCTGCACTGATTTTGTTGGTAACAATGGTTTTTCACGCTCTGAAAATGATTGTTAGTCGTTAAAACGGACTTGAAACATTGTTGTCCTAAAATCTAGTGGGATCTTTAACCCTTACACTCCTGAGAAATTAAAATTAAAATTTTAAAGCAAAATTAAAGTTTTCTCGACAAAATTGCTTTAATATGAAAACTAAAATAAAAAAATTTTTTTTGAAGAGTCAAAGAATTAACCTTTCCTGAAGACACTTTAAGCATTCTACATTAAATAAAGCCATTTTTGTAATAAAAAGACAATAACTTACTATTAGACGCAATGATGTAAAGAACTAGCACGCTTAAATTGCCATCCAAAACAAAAACAAGGCAGAAATTGGTGAGCGCATGCTCTTGTCTGCGTAGTAAACACATATCACAATTGTACGATTGAGGAGTGGGAGCTCCACTGTATCATTTTAACCCATAAAGTATATGTACATAAGGAAGTCACAATTGTAGCCACATGGAGCGTAAGGGTTAAAGAGTGTATTTTCTTTAGTACACCCTAAAACATTTATTAAAATCGCACCAAAGTTGTAGAAGTTACAGACATTTTAAAATAGCCCTATATTTTGGGCTTCAGAATGTAAAATGTGTAACTTCTTTATTTACAGGGCGATTTTAAGGATTTTTTTACGATTTACTATTAAAAAACTTCTCTTTTTAAAAATAAATATGATTATTACCAATATTCAACCAAACAAGTGTTTTATGCGCTTTAAAAATTGTTTTTAACAATATTTGCAAAATATAACCTTGGATAAATAACGAACATAAATAAAATTGACTGCGTAGGTATTTTAAATATAATAAATAAGTATAACAAAGATAACCTAGATAAAGCAAAGTACATAATTGGTTTTATGAATAATATTTTAGATTATTTTTATTGTTTCCCAGTATCAGTAAAAATTAAAATACAATACAAATTAGTAATAAGAAATTACATGGAATGTTAAGTGATTAGATCAAGGTTATTTTTAAAATAGCTGCATTTAAAATAATAATGACTTAAAAATTCCATGAAAAATTGTGTATTTTAGTTAGTACCTATACCCTAAACATTTTACCAAAATCACAATACACAGTAATTTTAAAACAGCCCTATGTTAAAGAAATTATGAAATCCACAACTTTTAAATTTTAATGAAAAATACTTTGGAATCTTTATTACAATAAATTTAGCATTATATTTTGGCATTGGATAGAGGCCATATATATATAGTAAGGCTCCAAGTCCATGGACAAAGAACAAAGAAAGTTAAAATACGCAAACAATTTAGGTGATTAAAAAACTTTCAAAACATAATAATAAATAAAGGCTACTTACCCATACAATAAGGGCCCAATTAATAAAAAAAATAAAAAACCACGATGTTCTTTGAAGTGTTTTCTTGTTGTCAGCTGATATTCCAGTGAAACTGCTACAATTTTAATCTGAGATCGTCTAGAAATACTTTCTACAAAATTTCCCCCACTCTTCCGGTCGAGGAACTCGTTATTACTCACACGTGTATTACACAGATATTTCACAATTTCGCACAATTATTAATTTTAAGTGTTTATTTATTTTGTCACTTCACAAACACTTAAAATTCGTTATTAATTAATAACACAGTCTGGTAGTGGTAACTAGAATTTTTTAAATGTTTATAAGAACACCAGTTTAATGATGATATTAATCTCATTATGACTGACATCTGAAAAAAAAGTTTTTGTTAAATCGAATTTAAAGAGGGCATTTAAATGAATGACCACTAAATTTTGTTAAAATCGCATTTAAATTTACAAAGTTATAAAGATTTAAAAAGAAGGAATACATTTTGTAAAAATTGTAATAACTTCGTTATTAAAAGAGCGATTCTAATGAAATTTACAGGGTATATTAAATTTTAATATTAACCAACATCATCTTTGTACCATGAACCAACATATTGTATAAGATCTATAAGGTCAATCAATAATGCAATTTTTTATATAAAAGAACAATTCTAAAAATCTATATTTTGGTTATAATATATTTTTTTTATTTAACGCTTTTTAAAGACATCAATAAGTTTTTACATAAAACGTGCATTTTTTTTTTACCCAGGCAATCAACCCATTAAATTGATTAATTGCATTTTCTTACAAAAACCTCAATTTTTAAACAAAAATGCAACAATAATAATTATTATTTGTCTTAGACTCTCACCTGAACAAATTTAACTCTAAAACATTAAAACCGCCGAAATTATAGCTGTAAGGTGCTGAAATGATAACTGAGGGATATTGAGGCGTTGCGACGCCTTTATACGTAGACGTCGGCTATACCGGATCGATTCTTTTGACGCAAAAAGTTAGTCACGTTTTGTGCTAACGAAAAGAAATCAATTTGGTTTTGTATCGCTATTTCCACGAAATTTAATCCAATTCGCATCGATCCTGCGTATTTTTAGATTGTAATTTCGCTACAACGATAATAAAATTCTAGATTATTCTATATGTTGTTGCATAACATGACTTAATTTTTTGAAAATTTAAATTTCATTTAATAACATCATGAAAATCCAAAACACAATTTATATTAAGTAAAATTATTAGTAAAATAAATAAATAGTTTAATCCTGTATAAATATATGCAACCAAATCACACATTAAAACATAATAGGTTGACTAATTTACAGGTCTCCATATACTTAGTAAGTATATGCAGGTCTCTGTCGACAACGCCATCTATGCAACCAATGCTGAACTAACTGACAATTTGAGGTTATGTAAAGTATTAATCAAAATAAACAATTTTTAGTCGAAATAGGCGATTTATTTTAAATGTTTCATAATAAATAGTGCATTCTAACACACCTACAAGCGACTATGGTAGAAGATACAGTAAATATAAGCAATAAACCAAAGGTCAGTGACTTTGAATTGTAGATTTTTTTTCTTCATATTTTCTGTATTTTTAGACGAAATCCAGCGATAAACCTCGATATGTTTACTCGTGGAGTGTCACAGATGTGCAAAAATGGTTTAGGAGACACTGTAGCGATTATTTCGCTCTATATTCCGACACCTTTTTAAAAAATGATATAACTGGTCGAACACTAATCAGGATTAACGATAACTCTCTTTTAAGACTTGGAATTACAGACAAAAAACACAGGGACGACATCTGGAGGGAAATATTGAAATTAAGACTTAAAACCGACATTTTGGAGATCATTGATTTGGAGAAACAGAATACAAATAATTTGTACTACGATTATTCTATCGCATAATATGATATACGAGGTGTATTTTATTTTATATTTATTATTATTTAGCTCGTTGTTTCTCATATATTTTAGCATTTTTGTGTATTACCTTTTTAATAAATAAAGTTTTAATGTGTGTATTTTTTGACTCACCCTGTATACTACATGAAACTTAAAAGGGGCGTAAATATATCAAATTTCATGCTTGTGTACTTTTGATGATATAAAATATCACTTTTTCAATAAATAGTGGAGTGAAAATGTGTGAAAATCGAAATAAAAAAAGAAAACACAAGAAAAAACATTCTACCAGAAAGGTAAGTCTGATTATTCATTACAATTAACCTTGAAAAGATCCGAATCAAATTATAGAACACAATGTGGGTTGGAATATAAATAAAATAGACAAACAACACAAAAACTATTGTATGAACACAAAACTGCATTTAAATGCATGCAAAGATAAAAAATAATCGTGTGAAATCGTTAATGCAATGTATTTTCGTGTTTAAAATTGAATTTCATGAATTTTGAATACCCACAACATATGTTTTGTGTAAACACCAAACCTTTCGCGAGTATTGTTGTGAACTGTCAAAATAAAACAAAATGCGGTCGTGATGCTGTCAAAATTACGTGAAAATGTCACTATCCAAGCCTACTTGACGTTTTAACTGTCAAAATTAGTTTGACAGTTAATGTAATTGTGGTTATGTTTAAATTATTGTAGGTTACATTGAACGGTTGTCAAGTTGAGTTGTCAAAATTTGTAGTTAAAAATGCAATTAATTTGGCTTTGGTGGTGCGTAAATAAGTAAAATCAACATACGTGAATGTTGTCCAATCATTGGACTCCAATGCAGAATGGGTATTTTGTTAATACTTGTACTTAGTGTCTTAATAATAATTATAATGTATATATTGTCCAGGACTATTAATGTTCAGTAATTTGCAAATTGAAAGAAGAAAAAGTTTCGTGATTATTGCTTATCTTTTTCAAACCAAGTAAATTATCAATAATTAATATTACTGTCAATTTGACAGTGTCAGAGTATTTAGCAGAAGTACCAAACTAAAAATACTAAATCTAACTGGCATAACCTACCAACTTAATAAAAAAAATGAACTGTATGTTGTTTCATGAAATTGAATGTCAAACACAAAAATGCCACTATCGTATTGATTTAAAGTGCTTTTTTAGTTTGCATAGAAATATAAAAATCGATTTAATTGCGATTTTAAACGGCAAAGTTTGTTCTCTGCATTGTTATTCGGTATACAATGCAGTAGGTGGTTTTAAAAGTCAGTTGAAGTCAGGACAGCGCGTCAATTTGAAAGTTTATTTGGAAGTGTGACATTTTAGGTGAAATTTAGAAAAATATTGGGGAATCTAAGTGATACTGTTAAACGAAGTTCATTGAAGGTAAGTTTTGTACTTTATAAATACAGTTAATTTGTACTTTGTTGAGTCGAAAACAAGGCAATTTTTAATATTAATATTGTATATTATCATTAATAGTTATTATCAAGCCCGTAAAGTCGTATTTTTTATCATGAATGTGATAAAAAATGACTTTAATACCGAGGTGCATATTAAAATTTATCCGAAATCACATTTAATAATAGCTTTGTTCGCGGAGCCCATCCATGACTAGTTCCGTATCTGTATAGGGTAAACAATCACGAACCATGCTACGCATGCGCGATTCGGAACCGATCAAGAATTAACAAATCTCCGCGAACGCGTTTCTAACCGCAACCATCAGTCAGCTGTTTTGTGACAAAACTTTTTGGGGAATCTCCTTCCTGATAATTATAGTATTCAGAATTGCTAAATCGCTCTGCTAAATCATCGACAATCTCTTTGCTAACTCGAAAATGCTCCCTAAATAGCTGATCATTGAACATGGGAACAATTTCTTCAAAATATGCAGTATTTTTAGGAACTTCAATTAAATCTAAACTATTTTCTAAATCTTCATCACTGGATGATAGATGATCACTCATCTATAAAATAAGCAAGGAAATGAACAATGCAAGTAAAAAATAAGTATTTCAACTTACGTTTTCGTTAAACAATTTAATTAAAAACAATATAGAACATATAACCTAAAATAAACTTTAAACAATAATGAACAATACGCATGTCTGACAGCTAGTACATGCTAAAATCCTCGGATCGTTTTGACTTGTCAGTAATTAGTTCGAAACTGGTCCCGAAGGCTCCGCGAACGAGTGATCAAATGTCAAATGTTGCCGATTTTTACACCGCGAACGCTAAAATTGCCAGTGCGCATGCGCAGTTGTCGCGGATTGATCACGGATGAGCTCCGCGAACAAAGCTATTAATAATTAATATTGATGATTGAATCAAATGTTATTTAATGATCAAATCAAATGTCATTTAAATGTAGGAAGTGTCTACGTACCTATACTGTTTGTTGCGGTTATTATAAAGGGTGGGCCACCCTTTATATTTGTCCTCCGCGGCGATTTTTTAATCTAATTAATAAAATTAACTTATTATTTTTATTAAACATTTTATGAAAGGGTCCAATTGACCTCCGCGACGGTGCTTTTTTAAAAATATTATTTATTTGCTGCTGAGGAGCAGTAGACACATCTTAAAATGTATAATGGGTTGCATACAATACTCGTATTAAATCGGCAGTAAAGTTCTACTTTACTGCCGATTTCGGATAAAATTAGTTGAATTACAATTTGAAATACACCTTACAGTTCAGATACTTTTCATAGCGCCCTCGTATATATCCGTAAGAGTACAATATTAATATTACTATCGTCGACCTTGAATTTGTTTAGTCGACATCTCACCGCTATCGCTGCGTTCTCAGCGTTTATAAGCAACTGTATTATTGTTTACATTCGACCATTAGTCATTGGTCCCCTCTCAGGTTGCAGCTGTTTCAGAAGATGCATCGCCCTATCAGGAGGGCTGGTTTAAGAACTTTTGACGATGAGAGAAACTCATCGCCGACGCTCATAGACCGGAGCTTTCTGAATGGACGATTTTTTTCTGATTTCTGAGCGTTTCCTGTTTGGAAATTAATTAAACAAAGAGTTTTTGATCCAACAGAGCAGAATTATTATTACTAATATAGCAATTTTCATATTACTCCGTATATTGTATATTATTAATATTATACGAGGTGTGTTCAGAAAATATCGGGAATTATCGTTTTTTGAAACAAATATATTTATTTATTCGTCTAAATTAATGTTGTCGCCTTCAAAATAGTCCCCATTGGATATTATGCACATGTGCCAGCTCTTCTTCCAATACTCGAGACACTTCTAAAACTCGATCTTTGGGATAGCCTTTAGTTCTTTCGGCGATGCGCTTTTAATGTCATCTATGCTTGCAAAACGACGGCCCTTTAAGGTTCTCTTTATTTTTGGGAATAGGAAAAAGTCAGACAGAGGCATGTCTGGCGAATATGGAGGCTGGGGCATCATTACAGTATTGTTTTTGGCCAAAAATAGTGTTCAAAATTTAACAATTTTAGAACAAATTTTGCTGCCACGCGTTTCATAACCAAAACATTCGAAAAAATTTCATGGGATGAGCCAATCGATATACCAACATCATCAGCGACTTCTCTGATGGTTTATAACCATTTCTTCCACTTTTTCCATGTTTTTATCGGTTGTTAATGTGCTTGTGCGTTCGGGGCGTTCGTCATCTTCAACGTCTTCACGGCCATCTTGGAAACTCTTATACCACTTGTAAACTCTTGTTTTACTTATAGCAGACTCACTATAGGCCTTTGTTAACATTTCACAGAATTTATTTCATTTTTTAAGCAGAATTGGATACAAATTCTTGATCCATTCCTTTTAACGAACGAAAAATCGCCGAGCTCATAAAACACGTTTAACCTTAGCGGCTGCCACAGACAAAGTAAACAATGAAAACAGCTAAAGTTTTTATCATACTTCGGGGGGATGTATACCAACATATCAAAGAAAATTTTATGACAACCCGCGAAATTTAATAATTCCCGTTATTTTCTGAACACACCTCTTATATATTTACAGCATCTCATTCATCAAAATGGTACACTCGCCGGCTATAGGTATCGACCTTGGTACCACTTACTCCTGCGTGGGGGTTTTTCAAGCGGGAAAAGTGGAAATAATCGCCAACGACCAGGGCAACCGTACCACCCCTAGCTATGTAGCTTTCACCGATACAGAACGTCTTATCGGCGATGCAGCTAAAAATCAAGTCGCCATGAACCCGAGCAACACCGTCTTCGATGCTAAAAGACTCATCGGGCGAAAATTTAACGACAAAAAGATACAGGAAGATCTGAAACATTGGCCTTTCAAGGTGGTCAATGATAGCGGGAAGCCTAAAATTTTGGTGGAGTTTAAGGTATTTTTAACATCAATTGATGGAGAAAACCTTTGAAAATGAAACAACAATTTTAGGGGGAAGTCAAAAAGTTTGCTCCTGAAGAAATCAGCTCCATGGTGCTCACAAAAATGAAGGAAACCGCTGAGGCCTATCTAGGCAAATCTATAAAAGATTCTGTAATAACAGTACCAGCATACTTTAACGATTCCCAAAGACAAGCAACTAAAGACGCTGGAATGATAGCTGGTAAGATTAGAAAAAAAAACAAGAAAAAATCACCTACAACTTTTTTGCGCTATATTTCTTTAAAACGTTAAAACTGCAGATTCAAATAGATCATGAAATTCTGAATTAATTGTAGAACAGGTTAATTTATTCAACGGGTGACCAATATTTTATTTAATTTTTTTTTCTTTGGTCATGGATTCTTCTATGTAGCTGTCGGCGACAGCCGTTGATTTCCAGCCTCCAAGTCGCTTAACATTGGAAATTCCTTCCCCAGAATCGGCTAATATGGTAGCGGAGGATCTACGAAAACTACGACCTGTGTACTCCTCAGGATTTTTAAGTTTTAGATGTGCAGCTATTTGTGCAGGCATTTTGCCAAATGTATTAATTCCTGCACATTGGGTAGTGCATGCTCTTCTTTTATAATTGACAAAAAACCTCTTGTGTGGGGTATTTGGTTGTCGCAAATTTGAATATTTTCGAAACAGTTGTAAGTAATGACCATTATTGATTTCATCAGATATCACAAAGATTCTTGATGTGTAATTTTTAGTGTCCGAAATTTTCACGATTACCAAATTTTCTTTATCTTCTATATCATCAATCATTATCTTTGAGAGCTCTTCTCGCCTACGAGTACTAGTTTGTGCTTCTTTAGTGAATCTTGAAATGTCATCTTTCTCAAAAATTTTGGACGTTTTTGGTCGGTATCCCGCATTTTCCTTTTTTATATATGATGTTAATTTATAATATAGACTCAAATCCAAATTTTTATAAACTTTTAGGACACTTTTTAACATGGAGTACTTACTCCACAAAGTATTTGGCTGATGTGATTTTCTTAAATCCGCAAAATAGGCCGGAAACAGTTCTTCCTTAAAACTTTTTGTCCCTTTTTTGTTGCACCGGTTTTCAAAGTGTTTAAATTGTTTCTCATATTTTTGACAGGATTTCGCTGGCAATAAATTCTCATTTACAGTATTTGCCGCCTCCAAGATGTCATATGGAAGCTCTTCTTCCAAAATTTGTATTTCAATTTCGCGAAAAATCTATAAATGTGAATATTGCTAAAATCACAATTTCATAATTTATTTGAATCTCTGTATAAACCTTAGTCGCTGTACTTAATATTGATCCAACGTCTTCGAATTACCGCGTTATACTGTATTGATTAACTTATTTTAATACTCAAGGCCGATTTTTTAAGGTATAAACGTTCTAAGAATCATAAACGAACCCACAGCGGCGGCCTTAGCCTATGGTTTGGACAAAAACCTGAGGGGAGAAAAAAACGTCCTTATTTTTGACTTGGGAGGGGGTACCTTCGATGTCTCTATATTGACCATCGACGAAGGGTCTTTGTTTGAAGTTAAGTCCACCGCAGGTGATACCCATCTAGGCGGCGAAGATTTCGACAACAGGCTGGTCAATTATTTTTCCGATGAGTTCAAGAGAAAATTCAAGAAGGACATCTCGAAGAACCCTAGATCTTTGCGTCGACTTCGCACAGCCGCAGAAAGGTTATCAGTCAAGTCCAAATGAGTCCAGGTTTCAAAATCTACATTTGTTCGATTTTGAAACCAATTGACTCGATCGAGTAAACTGTAAAAGGCTTTTTCCAGAGCCAAGAGGACTTTGAGCTCCAGCACTGAAGCCTCGATGGAGATAGACGCTCTGTTCGAGGGTATAGACTTCTACACCAAAATTTCTCGCGCCAGATTCGAAGAACTCAACGCCGACTTGTTCAGGAACACCTTGGAGCCTGTGGAGAAGGCTCTGAAAGATGCGAACATGAGCAAGTCGTCCATTAACGATGTGGTCTTAGTTGGTAAAGTATTTGCTTGGAAGATACTTGGCCAGTGTCCTCTACACAGCAAACGGAGAAATATAGAAGTGTATTGGATGACGCCACGTTTGAATACAGTTTTCTAATCTCCCCACGGTATAGAGTTGTATTCGTCAGTCGAGCGTTTCAATACTCTCCACAGTATAGAGGTCGTAATTTCACTTTTGAACTAGTATTAAAATGAAAACTATTTTATGCTTAAAAAAAAACTATATACGACATGATTGTGATTTTTTTCATTTTATTAATTAATTAAGCTGTGTTGAATATTTTTACTAAAGGAATAATTGCCAATGGGCCATTAATTCATTTGTTCGTAGATGCTACAATAACCTGCACTGGTGTGTACTTTTTCATCAACCAGATTTAAATATTGCTGTACTAACATATACCAGTGGAGATAGTGCAGGGTCTACCAACAGACCTCATTACTAAATTATTAAACTTAGCATATCGATCATTTTTTCAACATAACCTCTGAAATTTTTAATACAAATATAGGTACTTTACAAAATACATAAATATACTTTACATCATATCCTCTGTGCTTTACATACCTGAGTTGTTACGGTAAATAAAAATCAGACAAAGGAACCAAAGAAAGGAACTATTTTCAACAAAATCATATGCAGAAAGGAGAAAATTCAAACTACTTGCATCCATCAAAAGATCAAAACTTCTTGCAATATTACACCCTCTTTTTATACTCTCAGAAATATTGACTAAAACAGTATTAGAGAGACTCCAGTTTCTATAACTTGGTAGAGTAAAGAGAAGTCGAAACCGTTGCGATATTGCATTGCGCTGTTTTTGTATAATTCTCGGGGACATTAACGAAAATCATTGCCAGTAAAATTCGAAAAGCTTGAGTTTCTATGTCTCTGAAGAGAATAGGAATCCGAAGTTGCTGCACCATTGGACTGAACCCTTTTTTAATAATTTCTAGAGACATAAATGACTGCACCATTCGACAGGGTCGAGTTTCTACCTCTCTGTTGAATATAGAAAATCAAAACAATGTATCTTGTAAGACACCATTGAGTTTGACTTTAAATATAGTAGGGCATAGGTATAGAGCCGAAAAATATAAAAACAAAGCACGATTCAATACAGTTGTGATATTCGAACGCGGAGTCATCCTATACAGTTCTATATTTTTCCGTTTGCTGTGTAGCGATGGAAAGACCCATATTTAACTGCATTTCTCCGCAGGTGGTTCCACGAGAATCCCGAAAATCCAATCCCTACTGCAAAACTACTTCAACGGGAAATCTCTCAACCTCAGCATCAATCCCGATGAAGCTGTTGCGTACGGCGCAGCCGTTCAGGCCGCCATTTTGTCTGGCGATCAGAGCAGCAAGATCCAAGACGTCTTATTGGTCGACGTGACCCCCCTTTCCCTCGGTATAGAAACCGCCGGTGGGGTCATGTCAAAAATCATCGACAGAAACGCGAGGATTCCTTGCAAGCAAGCTCAAACTTTTACCACTTACAGCGACAACCAGCCAGCTGTCACCATACAGGTGTTTGAGGGGGAAAGGGCCATGACCAAAGACAACAATATTTTGGGTTTGTAGATATTGTTTCTCTAGCACAATAGCTCCTTCTAAAGCTTTACAGACATTTCAAAGAGCGTTTCTAGGTACGTTTGACTTGTGTGGTATCCCACCGGCCCCCAGGGGCACCCCAAAAATCGACGTGACCTTCGACCTGGACGCCAACGGTATCCTCAACGTTTCCGCCGTTGAGGAAGGCACCGGAAAGTCCAAAAAAATCACAATCAAGAACGATAAGGGTCGATTAAGCCAACGAGACATAGAAAAAATGCTTGCTGAAGCCGAGCAGTACAAGGAAGAAGATGAGAGGCACAGACAACGCATTTCCAGTAAAAACGAGCTGGAAACTTATGTTTTCAACGTGAAACAAGTCGCCGATGAGAACGGGGGTAAAATGACACCCCAGGAGCAGCAAAAAGTCCAAAAGGAATGCAGCAAAGTTATTAAATGGCTGGACAGTAACCAAACCGCTGATAAGGATGAGTACGAGTACAAATTAAAAGAAATACAAAGAGTTTGTGGACCGATTATGAAAAAAATGCATGGTGGGGCCTCCGGGGGGCAAGACAATAGCGCTGGAGGGCCCACCATAGAAGAAATGGATTAAAGGTACTGTAAACATGAATAAAACATTTACATGAATTTTTATTATTTTTATTTTAACAAATATTCACTACTAGATGTCCACAACATTGTTTAATAATAATTTCTTCAATTTATTTAAAAATTTTATTAATATTTGGGTGGTAAAAAGGAAAATGAAACTAAATTATTAATTTAGATACCCTATGTATTCAGCGACTTATACAAAAAATATGGAAAATAGAATACCTAAACTTAATATAAAATGTATTCAGCGACCAACACAAAAATTTTGAAAGGATAGAATTAAGTTAATATAAACCGAAAACATAAATTAAAAACTAATGTTGCACAGTAGGAACATAGAAACACTTGTTATCCTCATTTGATCACCAGGTTATAATTATTCATTTATCCCAGTCCCTGAATAATTTTGCAAATACCTACCTACTTATTCAAAAAAAAAAATTAATAATTACTCACCAGAAATGTAGTACTTACCTCACAATGATACACTTCCTAACACTAACTAAAACTGCAAACTGCATCATGATGATGCAGATTGCAGTTGAGCGACCGGCCAAAGTCTTATTTCAATCGGGAAATCATTTCATTGGTCATCTTAGGTGGTGTGATGCTTTACTCCCGAACAAATTGTCCAATATTGTAAAATTTATATTTTAACTCAGTTATACTATATTTACGAGGTGTGTTCAGAAAATATCGGTAATTTTCGTTTTTTGAAACAAATATTTATTTGTTCGTCTACATTAATGTTGTCGCCTTCAAAATAGTCCCCATTGGATATTATGCACATGTGCCAGCTCTTCTTCCAATACTCGAAACACTTCTAAAACTCGTTCTTTGGGATAGCCTTTAGTTCTTTCAGCGATGCGCTTTTAATGTCATCTATGCTTGCAAAACGACGGCCCTTTAAGGTTCTCTTTATTTTTGGGAATAGGAAAAAGTCAGACATAGGCATGTCTGGCGAATATGGAGGCTGGGGCATCATTACAGTATTGTTTTTGGCCAAAAATTCCGTTCAGAATTTAACAATTTTAGAACAAATTTTGCTGCCACGCGTTTCATACCCAAAACATTCGAAAAAATTTCATGGGATGAGCCAATCGATATACCAACATCATCAGCGACTTCTCTGATGGTTTATAACCATTTCTTCCACTTTTTCCATGTTTTTATCGGTTGTTAATGTGCTTGTGCGTTCGGGGCGTTCGTCATCTTCAACGTCTTCACGGCCATCTTGGATACTCTTATACCACTTGTAAACTCTTGTTTTACTATAGGCCTTTGTTAACATTTCAAAGAATATATTTAATTTTTTAAGCAAAATTGGATACAAATTCTTTGATCCATTTCTTTTAACGAACGAAAAATCGCCGAGCTCATAAAGCACGTCTAACCTCAGCGGCTGCCACAGACAAAGTAAACAATGAAAACAACTAAAGTTTTTATCATACTTCGGGGGCATGTATACCAACATAATAAAGAAAATTTTATGACAACCGGACCCTCCGAACCCGCGAAATTTAACAATTCCCGTTATTTTCTGAACACACCTCGTATATTTAAAAAAATCATCACATTTAAGAATTGTAAACAAATTTAGTAATGAAATTATTTAATTTGTCTAACGTGTACACCCAGTATATAAAAATTATTGTAACAATAAATAAAAAGTTTCCATGCATATTTGCTAGTTTTATTTTGAAATAAAATAGCATGTTTTTGATAAAAATTCCGTGACTGGAGAATATCTAAAAAAAGTTAAATAAGTACATAGAAATAATGGAATATCGATCCCCAAATGAAATTTTTCGCTCAATTTCACTACTCTAAGTCTTTTTACCCATAACCATAAAATACACAATAAATACAGACAATATACAGGGGCCCTAAAACCATTATATTATAAATATTCATTTAACATATTTATTTTTTTTACGACTTACTTATCTAACTTAAATATGCGGCACAATTGTGTGTTGCGTGTTGCATACATTATAAACTCACGAAAGCTCGGCAAGAAATATTTTAATCTTCGTCGGGCATCGTCTCGCTTCGTTTCAAGTCGTCTTAACGGACATTCTACAAATTCCTCGGTTAGTTCTACCGAAACGTTGGATTTTAAGCCTTATCGTCGATTTGTTTAAGTGTTTTCGTCGACTTTAAGCGCCCTCGGTGCTTAGCAAAGGCTGTGTGAAAATAATCTTAGATTGTTGGAGTGGATTTTGGGATTAAAGAATGGCGAATAAAACGAAAATTTGAATAGCGCGAAAAGTAAGAGGGATAGAAAAATTTTGTTTGATTTTTTGTATTCTAAATTAAAAAATGCATCTATGATATGAATTTCATATTTTTATCACAACTTTTATGAGAGTTATAGCGAAAAACTAAAAAAATGGTGAATGCACCACCTAAAAAAACTTGATTCTCTCCAAAACTATAAACGATAAAAAAAATCTGTGAACATATTTAGAATCAGCATAAAAAACTACGTAATCAAAGTAATTTTCATAATTTTATCCCAATTATCACAGGAGTTATAATTGATTTCTAAAAAGAGACTTCAACAGGTGAAAGAGATAAGACAGGAAACCTCATTTTGATTTATTTATTAAATACACAGTTTTTTTGTGGAAAATCAATATGTTTTGACTTACATATTGTTAAAATTATACCCTTATGTTCTTTTAAAGACAAAAACAAATTATTTTTGTAGGTTATAATTGATTCTTTTTACAGTGTTTTTCATTTTTATTATGGTTTGTTTATTTTTTAGGGGATTTTAATAAATTTTGGTGTAATAATGTATTTATAGCCGAAAAAATCAAAAATTATAATTTTTTTAGTGTCAAATATTGGGGGTTGTAGATATAACCCCTCAAAAATCAATTTTTTTATTTTTGTTTGCCTTTAAAAAAATAAAAAAATTAAAACAGAAAACTACAATAAAAAACACCCCAAAACATGTATAGTTTTTTATTAATGGCCTGATAATTGTTATTTTATACACTACCTGACTGTGGTTTGGTGCCTTAACCTTTAGGGGGCATATACGCACAGTAGTGTAAACTTTTGATAAAATATTCACATTTATAATACAAGATAATATAATTTAGAGGGTGTCTATTTTTAAATGCATAAAACAACCAACCATTGTATTTTAATATTGAAACCGACGCTTTCGATTCAAATTTTACAATATTTTTGTTTTTTTCGGATACTTATAGTAATTTTACTGCTCGGTATTGTAGAATCGAATTTGAAATTTTGTAAAATTTCTATACATATTCGGAATTTAATTTTATCAAGATAATCAATAAAATTACTAACCAAAATTTGCTTTTTGAATTACAATAACTGTTTGGAACTATACATATCATTATTTATTTTATACAACTTCTGTTTGCATTTCATCATGTACACTGTTAAATTTTTTGTAAAATTACAATTGTTTTGCAAAACAAAGGATGAGTAAATATACAATACAAAATTATAATACAATTTGAGTAATCTTCCAAGACATGTTGGGAAATCTCCTAAGATAAGTTGTAATTCTACAATCTATGCTCTTACATCTCGCCTCGGTTGACTTAGGTGGACAGTATATAAGCTCAGGTGTCTTTCGTTTTTGGTGTGTTTCAATACACCAAATTTACCGACATTGATAAGACCCTGTCGGTATTTGAAGTTGGTGGAACGCACTTAAAACAAAAACTCTGGCGAGATGAAGGTTCAATTTTGTAAAATCTTTACAGTAATGGGTCAGGAAAGTTTCTTGAAGAAACTAAAAAAATTGCATCATTCGTAAATTACTAAATATTTTTAGTGTAATTTGCTGTACAAAATAAGAATATTTGTATTGTAATATTGCGAAACAATTTTCTTCAGTTCAGTAAAATAGTAAAATATATTTTGTAATTTTCTTAAACTGAGTTGAAATGAATTGTATAGTATATATACTATATAATTATAATTACAATACACCATTTTAAAATTACTAAACATATTTATTATTTTTTTAGCAAAATTACAATACCTGTATAGTAATGTTTGTAAATTTGTAATAAACAACAACAAACGTTTTGTAATTTTCCCAAATTGAGTTGTAATGAATCGTTTATTGAATTAACAAAACTGAGTTTTATAATTACTATATTGTGGTGCGTAAAAACTTGCTAAATATGTTTAGTAAAATTACAATCAAAATTTTTAACAGTGCACTGTATGATTAAAAAAATGCATGTAGCAGAGGTATAATAATAAATATTTTTAGATTACGGTGAGGCTGCGCGCGCACACATTTATATTTGAACCCAGCCTTCTCGAGTATCTTGAAACTCTTAAGTCGAGTAGTAGTTGTTGGTCTTAAGAACTAGAATTGTAGTGAGTGGTAACGCTAAGCATTAACATAAACTAAAAGCTACATAAAATGAAGGAACACTGCATCTCTATAGCGAATGGGTGCAATTGAACAGCATACGGAAGCTGAATATTGTGATTATGTTATGTTTATAGTTGTTAAGTTCGAAAAGTTATATCTAAGTGCACGGCTTCTTAATAACAAGTGGTTAGATGGTTTAAATGTGCTGTGTTCAAGTGGTTTGGTGCTGTTTTAAAAATGGATAACTTGGCAAATAACAATTTGGCTACAAATCTACCTACTGAGGTAAACAAAATTCAATTTAACAATTTAATTTCGCAATATTTCTATTATTGCAATTTTTATCAATTTATGCGGCGTGGACTTTAATTTTTAAATACCTAGCATTAAATTGTTTTTTAAAGTGTAAATTAGTTTTTTATATTTATATACCTAGATATATTACAAAATACCCTATATAAAATTGTACAGTAAAGATAGAAGTAATCTGTCAACACCAATAAAAAGAGCGCATTTTTATTAGGATACCATGAAAAATTCATAACAATCTCACAACTTTCAGATAAGTTACAAAACTATTAAAAATATTATAAATTATTTTGTTTTATTAAATTAATTTTAACACCCTGTGTCTTTGTTTAAAGTATTCCAACTTTATAAAATTTACACAAAATTTTAACAAAATTTTTATAAAACATTAAATTAGTACCAAACACAAAAATATACAGGGTGTTTTTGACGTTAAAAAAATACAACTAATTTTTAAAACGCTTTCATTAAGCCATTATTGCAGTAATTTTAACAAATACTTTAAAGTATACACAAAAAATTACAAACTTTTTAAAAATTGTATTACTTTTTGTCCAAAATTTCATACAGAGCCATTAAAAATAAAACAAATTATCACGTTTTGTTAAATTAATTTTATTTGTTTAAAGTATTCCAATTTTATAAAATTTACAGAAAATATTAACAAAAAAAATTAAAAAAACATTAAATTAGTACGGAACACAAAAATATACAGGGTGTTTTTGACGTTACGCAAATACAACTAATTTTTAAAACGCTTTCCTTAAGCCATTATTGCAGTAATTTTAACAAAAACTTTATAGTGTACACAAAAAATTACGTACTTTTTGAAAATTGTATTACTTTTTGTCCAAAATTTCATACAGAACCGTTAATAATGAAACAAATTATCACGTTTTGTTAAATTAATTTTAACGCACTGTGTCTTTGTTTAAAGTATTTCGACTTTATAAAATCTACAGAAAATATTAACAAATTTAAAAAAAAACATTAAATTAGTACCAAACACAAAAATATACAGGGTGTTTTTTGACGTTCCAAAAATACAAATAATTTTTTAAAACGCTATACTTAAGCCATTCTTGCATTAATTTTAACAAAAACTTTATGGTATACATTAAAAATTACGAACTTTTCGAAAATTGTATTACTTTTTGTCCAAAATTTCATACAGAACCGTTAAAAATAAAACAAATTATCACGTTTTGTTAAATTAATTTTAACACACTATATTTTTTTAAAGTATTCCGATTTTATAAAATTTACACAAAATATTAACAATTTTTTTTTAAACATTAAATTAGTACCAAACACAAAAATATACAGGGTGTTTTTGACGTTAAAAAAATACAAGAAATTTTTAAAACGCTTTCCTTAAGCCATTCTTGCATTAATTTTAACAAAAACTTTATGGTATACACAAAAAATTACGTACTTTTCGAAAATTTTATTACTTTTTGTCCAAAATTTCATACAGAATCATTAAAAATAAAACAAATTATCACGTTTTGTTAAATTAATTTTAACACACTGTAGCTTTGTTTAAAGTATTCCGATTTTATAAAATTTACAGAAAATATTAACAAAAAAATTTAAAAAAACATTAAATTAGTAGCAAACACAAAAATATACAGGTTGTTTTTCGACGTTAGAAAAATAGAACAAATTCTATAAAACGCTTTCCTTAGGCCATTCTTGCAGTAATTTTAGCAAAAAATCACGTACTTTTCGAAACTGTCATTACTATTCGTCCAAAATTACATACAGAGGTAGTATTGCAATAGAACATCACCTACCTTCTCTAATCTATTCACAGCGTTTGGCATTATACTTTTGACTTTTTTCTCTGATCTTTTATTAACAGGTAGACCCAGACATTCGTGGAATAATGCGTTTTGAACCTGCTAAGGTAAGCCTTAAGCTTGTTCCGTTGATGGGGTGCATATTTACCCGATGTTATATATACTTTTTGAGCGGGAGTAATAAATAAGTTTGGCAATAAAAAAAACAATAGAGATTTAAGTGAGTACATTTAAATCATTTACTGCGAGATTTAGTCATTGTTTCTTTGAAATATTAGTGTAATATTTGAGATTGTGTTTGTATATTTGAGAGAGAGAATACAGGAAAGTTGAGGGTTGAAATAAACTCCAAATACACCCGTATAATAACAATTCCTTTGACAATGAAAAGGGTAATTAGGAAAAATACGGGTATGTTGCCTTTAACTTAAAATTCACTTACATATTTTATAGAAAACCTCAGCAATTTTCTTTGATGTTTTTGGTTGCGATAGAAGCGATTACACAGTAAAAAAAATCAACTCTAAGCAACACTAATTAGAGTTCACAGGTCCACACTAAATAGTGTTGTTTTATAACACTACAATTAGAGTTAATTTGTAGTGTCATTTTCCCCAAGTAAGCAAGTATGATTTAACACTATAGCACTGAGAATAAAGTAATTTTACACTGTATTAAAAAGTGTTAATTTACCAAAAATCGTGTACTTCTACACTTCCTGGGTAAAATCACACTTTTGTTCAGTGTAAATTAACACTACTTTGGAAAAGTTCTAATTTTAGAAAGGTACTTTTACTCTTTTAGTGCAAACTTCTAGTGTAAATTAACACTATTATTTGAGTAAAACCTTTGGTTGGTAGTGTAGCAAGTAAAACAAAAAGGTAAATAAGGAGAAACATTTATTTGGAACAAAAATCTATAAAAATTATCAAAATCGGTGCCTTTTAAAATATTATTTTATATTTGAGTCGTATGGCTGGCTTAAGCGAAATGGTTCCTTAAAACGTCAAATGCAATGTTGTACTGGCTGTCAACTTGTAAGCAATGAATTATTGTGAGAATTCATCAGTAATCCATTTTTCTGTTATAAAAAATGGGTGATCCCATTGGTAGAGAGGCGTCAGGCGGCTGTATGTCGGGGATTTACCACACGTGTACAAATTTTCCATAAAATTAATAAAAATGTAGGTATAGGTTAATATAACAACCATTACGCTTGAAAATAAAAAGTAAATCAAGTGTGTATGTATTTATATTATTAATGTTACTAGTACCCGACCTACTGCCGTAAATTATTGATATATAATATAGGTCGGGTATGGACATCCTTTTAATATATTGGTATTTATTGAGTATTAAGGCTTAAAGAAAAAGGAAGTATAACACTTACCAAAAAATAAGAATGTCCCCTTATGGATTCACCGTAATTAAAATCTAACTGAACAAAAATGCCACACTTCCACAACGCGGTATCCCAACCAAACATTTTAAAACGCATTTCAGTTATTACCAGTTTTTTCAGTCTATTTTGCCACTATTGGTGTAATTTAACTTTAATTGTGATACAATGTGCACTAGTAGTGTAAAGAAAAAAGAGCTCTTAGTAACATCAAAACAGACAAAGAAATTGGCATGCACTGTAGTGTATATTTTGTCACTATATACTTTTTCTATGATTTAACACATTAAGGGGTAATAAACACTCGCATTAAGTTTTTCTACCCTTTTGATTTATTTTAATAATAAATAGTGTGAATGTACCAATGAATAATGTCCATATTCTTTAAATGTTTTTAATAAAGTTAATAAGCACTAAATGCTACCTAGTGTATTTTGTAGTGTAACTTTTACACTTACAAATTAACTCTAATATTTTTACCCATACACTAAAAAATTTACACGGGCAAAATTTTTTACTGTGTGCTTTTGTAATTTATATTACTTTAAAATTAACGAGGTAATAGCAATTTTCGAAAAGTGAGAAATTGTATAATAATTGAATTATTTATGAAAAAACTTGAAAACATAACCTTAATTACTTACTCAAAATTTAAAGCCGTTTAGTTTGTAAAAAATATACGCTAGTTATAAAATCAAAAAATTTACGCGGGCAAAATTTTTTACTGTGTGCTTTTGTAATTTATATTACTTTAAAATTAACGAGGTAATAGCAATTTTCGAAAAGTAAGAAATTGTATAATAATTGAATTATTTATGAAAAAACTTGAAAACATAACCTTAATTACTTACTCAAAATTTAAAGCCGTTTAGTTTGTAAAAAATATACGCTAGTTATGAAATCAATGTAGGCTTAATTATATAAAAATATGTGGGAGATATGATTAATTCCAATAAATATTTACCAAGAACTATATCTATTAATGTATTTTAAACAATTTGTCGTACACAGTAATTAAAAACACATAACTCAAGTTGTTTTGTACTTTACACTTTAAATGCTACCATACATTAAACTAATCCACATTTAATAGCACCCTTGATTGAAATAAACATTATTAATTGAACGTGCGAGCTGAAAGGGTCTCAGATAGGACCCTTGCGGCATACATAACATCAAAACAGGTTTTCCTTTTTAGTTTAAAGCGCAAAACTTGAAAATCACGTATTCTCAGCAACACCCACTCGAAAATCGCGATAATTACCAGATAAATAAAAAAACTGCGAAATTTACGATTTTTGCAAGGAATGCAGTGTTGTTAAGTAAATTACGATTATGAAATATAAATATCGCCTAATTATTATTGCTTTGTTAACTTTAACATTTAGTTTGCAAATACCATTCGGTGAATAATAATTTTCCATTGTCAATAATAGCAAATATGTCAGCAATTAGTTTAGAATTTACTTTCAATATTAAATGATTTTTTATGATTATCAAGGATAATTTTTTTGTTTATCAATAGTTAAAAAAACTATTTTTTATGGGGTTTTTGATTTTTTCAGGTTGTTTTCAAAATACAGAATTGCCAGCAAGATCACCAGATCTAACACCTCCAGACTTTTTTCTATGGGGATATCCACAATCCACACAACAAGGTCTGTTTTATCTCGTACTAAAAATACAAAAAATCACTGCCACACTGCACAGGTTAACGGCGGCCATTTTTGTTCTTTACAATTTTTTTGCTTTGGGTTTGTGCTCTGTTTATACAG